ATCTACCTTATAGGTTATGAAAAATTATGCTTGCATTGAACAAAAAAATCACAGCAAGCCACTTTTGAAATTTTTGATTTGTTGGCCCCAAATTGCACTGACAGCATCCTTTGCAGTTCAAATAAACATTTATTCCAATAAAAGGAAACCCTGTAATCTTTGCTTTTGCTTCATATTTCTGGCTTTGCAGTGACTCTTGTCAAAGTTTTGTGTGTTTATTATTCATACAGACCTTTGCGAGGTAACAAGTTGTTTTCCAAATGCAGTTAATTTTATGTTTAACCTCTGAAAACAGCTTCTAAACCTTCAAATCATAACAGTGGAAAACTGAATCTGCACCTGCATAAATAGTGAAGACATTTTTTTAAAATGCTTGAACGTCTTGAATAAATATTTTAATAAATAACAGCATTATTTTAAAAAATATCTCCAACTAGACATGTTTGAATGAATGATTGGGGGATTCCAGAGAAGACTCACAGGACACGTGAAGTTTTGGAAAATTTTAGTGTAGTCTCATGTTAATCAGATTCTAAAAGAGGTATTTTTATAAGCCCCAACTCCTGCATGCTGCTAGGTGTGACTCCCAAACTAAAATTCAAATCTCCCCAAATCAAAGGAGTATTGAATTCTCTAGTCCTACCTTAGAAAAGGAGAAAAATGGACTCATAGGGTCTAAAACTTATCATCAGGAACTCAAAGTACTTTACACTGAGAATCAAATTGAGAAGCCTGGTTGTTGCTGATTCTTATTCTCTGATTCCCAAGCTTTTACAAGAGTAATTTAGATTAAAAGCAAACAATAAAAATTGAAAAGACATTCTACAGCCTTCCAAGGACGTACACATATCTTAATGTATTCCCCTAAATTGGCTCTGGTGGACAAGATCCCTGATGTTACAAACTTGCTCCTCTGAGCTACCATGTGTGCAGCAATGCCAATAAATTGTGGGGTGTAGCAAAGGAGTTAGTGATCTATGCTATATGGGAAGACTTGTTGAGGACTGGGGTAGTCTTTTTTCAGTTCTTATATATTCTCTTATGGCAATTATTCACATTTGAAAATTATGTAACTTAGAAAACAGTATTATAAATTTCTCTGTGTGTACAAGTGTGAGCATATGTGAAAGCAGGTTACATGTTTGTAACCAGTTCATCTTCATAAAGGCACTCAACAGAGGACATTTCAGTTCATTTTAAAAGCAGTGTAGTTCTAATAGCATCTAAGTAACCCCTTTTTCATACATATTAGTTTACTCACTTTCCTTTCCACTGTTGCCATTATTCCTTTGTTGTGATGACCTGGGTCACATCCATCCTTGCTTGTGGTGCTTACACACACCTGGGTGTAGTTCTTCTGAGACCACACACTCCATCGGAGCTCCTGGAACCCAAAGAGGCAAGCCACAGAACTGTGATTGGCTGGCATTTTTGCTACTGAGCCTTCTCCTAGGCTCCTTTTCAGTTCAAACATCTTTCCAGAAAAAAACTCTTTGAAACTAATCATTTTATGAAATGATTCGTAAAAAGAGCAAATATATATATAAATATATATATATTTATAAATATAATATATATATAAATATATATATGGCTAGAAGTTTGGCCCAGCAACACTCAGGACTTTGGAAAATGAATTTTCATTGGTTTTGCAGTGCTTGTAGTAAAGAGGCATAAGAGATACCCCATTCCAGTTGTGTAAGATATATGTTTATGATTGAAGATAAATAATTAACTGGAGTTCAGAAGGTTTGATATTGACCACTATGCTCCTGAACTTCATTAGCCAAGTAGACTGATTTTCGAATATGCCCCCAATTATCACCTCTTTCCTTTGTTCTAATTTCCGCTATTTGAAACAAGCTCTTTCACTGCATTCACTTTGGTGAAATTTTGTCCATCTTTCAAGATTTCTTTCTGGCCTTATGAAAATAATTTGCTGCATGCAGCTAACCCGGTTTCAGTCCTCAGCATCCCATATGGTTCCCTGAGCACTGCTAGGAGTTAAGCACTGAGTGGAGAGCCAGGAATAACTCCTGAACATGACTGAGGCCCCAAAACAAAAATGCACCCCCCAAAATTAACTAATGCAATTAGTTGAAAATGCGATGCTAACTTAATTTCTGCATCTTTATGTATATCAGTTTTAAACATATTAACTAATTCATTGAGGCATATATACACATTCTAACTTAAGTTTTAGTGCTCTAGAGTTGTGCACCCATCTCTGTCACCACAAATCCATTTCTACAACATTTTTATTTTCTGCTACAAATTCTTTCTGACTTCTTTTCAGTCTATTTTCATGCCTATTTCTCCATTTATAGGCAACTGCTGCATCAATTTGTTTCTCTAATTTTTTTCTCCAGAAACTTTCTAGGAGGATCACACAATATGAACCTGCTTATTTTTTATTTTTATTTTTTTTATTTAGCATGTTACATCTGTCAATAATTCAATACTTCAGTGGCTGGTGGTATTCCACAGTTTGAGTATACTGTCCATTGTTCACTGGTGGCCGAACTTTCAGATTGTTTCTAATTTGGAGGCTATTATGAATAATGCTATTATGAATATTGGCATACAATTTGTAAGACTTTATGTTTCATTGTACTTATATGGATTTCTTAGGATAATTTAAATTAATTTTTTGGCAGTGCTAGATTTATTTAGTTTTTTGGTTTTGTCTTGGGTCTTCACTCAGAAGTACTCAGTAGAACACACAGTGCAAGGCATTGAACCCTTCCCTGGCCTGTGAAGCATGTCCTTACCTATTGAGCTATCTCTCCATGTGGTGTTGGATATTGAAACCAGGTCTTCACATGTAAGGCATACACCCTACCATTAAGTCACATCCCTGCTCCATCCTGGATAGATTTCTAAGAATGGAATTGAGTCCATAACACTAGGTTTATAGTTACCTTTTTAAAAGTAGTTTTTCAAACTATTTTCCAAAATAGCATCGTGAAATTATATTCCCATCAACTATATATATGCATTTCAGTTTCTCAGAATTGTTTTCAATCACTTATATTTTCAGTCTTTTTTTTATTATAGTCATTTTTAGAGGGTATGCATTTTGTGATTGCAACAATCACTCCTACAGAGCACCAATTTATAGTGATTTGTGTCTTTCATGAAAACTTTTTAGTCTTTTGCCTGTTTGTAATTGGGTTGTTTGTGTTATTATTGAGTATATACTACATAAGACATAGATCAATGGACTGGAGTACATATTATTTACAGAAAGGCCCAAATTCAGTACTCTTCACCACATGGTCCCTTGTGCACAAGGAGTGACCCTTTCGCACAGAGCCAGGAGTAGCCACCAAATACCACTGAGTGTGGCCAAAACCTTTTTCCTCCCTGCCCTTGACAAAAAGAGTTCTATACATCTATACATACTCTGAGTTTAAGTCCTTTAAATAAATATAAATTGAAAATATTTTGAGTATTGACTTATCTTTACATATTCTTAATGAAATATTTGGAAATACAAACATTTTTATTTTAATAATCTTTAATATCCGAGACTTGCTTGCTTACAATAGGTCATAGCAATGTTTTATATTTTTTGAAAACGTCTGGAAGAATAGTACAGCGGTAGGGAATTTGCCTTGCAAGCTGCTGACCTGGCCAAGCCAGGTTCAATTCCTCCACCCCTCTCGGAGAGCCTGGCAAGCTACCGAGAGTATCTCGTCTGCATGGGAGAGCCTGGCAAGCTCCCCATGGCGTATTCGATATGCCAAACACAATAACAACAAGTCTCCCAATGGAGACATTACTGGGCCCACTCGAGCAAATCGATGAACAATGGGAGGACAATGCTACAGTGCTGAAAATTTAAAAATTTTAGCTCTTGTTCTTTGTTCTCAGCTGTGCTCAGGATCTGTGCTAGGGACTACTGGACCTGCTGATTATGTTATGTGCTTCGACCCACATTACATACTGGGACCACTGAGACTAAAGTAAAGTGATGCTGAGTGGAGGATTTGGTGCTCGAGATTGAATTTGGGGTTTTGTTCATTCCAGGCATGTGCTCCATCTTTTAAAGCCACATAGCTCTTATTTTTAAGTCTATAAATGAGCATAAAAATTCATTTAAAAAGATACATACATGGGTCCAGAGTGATAGTACAGTAGGTGAGGTGCTTGTCTTGCACAAGGCTGACCCAGGTTCGATCACTAGCATCCCTGGCATTCCATACGGTACCCCAAGCACTACCAGGAGTAATTCCTGAGACCAGAGCCAGGAATAACCCCTGAACATTGCCAGATGTGACCCATCCCCCAGAAAATGTTATATGCAATTTTCCTTGTAGTGCTAAGTAAAATGTAAACAATCTAAATGTCCAACAAACTGATTAGTGGATCAAGAAACACATTGCAATAATACTCAACAATAAGAAAATATGAAATCTTGCCTTTAGTTATAATTTTGATGGAACTAGAGAGTGTCCTACTAGGGTGAACTAAGTAGGGGAAGATGGACCAGTGATTGATAATCTCATTCACATGTGATGTGTGAAGAAACAAAGCAAGGGAATGGACAGTGTGCAGTGAAAACAGGTTCTTAGACCCGGATGACAGAACTGCATTTACCAAGTGGGGATAATGTGACTGAAGTAGGTCAGCTCAGAGTGACTCAGGGAAAGTTTTGAACACTTTGGTGGGAGTAGAAATACAGTTACTTTATACATCAAAATAATAAACATAAGCCCTATTCTAAACCATGCTACCTCAATAATAATGAAGTTAAAAAAATAATAAAGTGGCTTGGATGATTAGGGGCCAAGTCTGGATTCTTTAGTAATTCGTTACATGACTCTCGATAAGTCTTCAGATCTCTTTGCACCATCTTTTTGCCTGTAAGACAACAATTGTGGACCAGATTACCATTATGGTTTTCTTCCCTGGATATGCTTCTTTGGTACAACAAAGTATGACTACAATGTTTTGTTAAGTTCAAATAACACAGCAGATCCTTCTTTAATTTGCAGATTGCAGTAAGAATCTGTTTCACTGCCACACAGGCAAGTGTCTTAATTACAGCCTTATCTGTGATGGCTATGATGACTGTGGGGACCTGAGTGATGAACAGAACTGTGGTAAGTAACACTGTTACCCTGAATATTTTCATTTGAAGCTGCAAAAATTATATATCTCTTAAGAATTTATAATACATTGTTAATATGGTTATCAGGTTCCATTACCAAAAAGTTGATTTATTAATTTTTAAAGATAAGGGTTTTTTTTTGGGGGGGGGTTGGTTTGGTTTAAATTACTAGTCTAAGTCAGGTCTTCTGTGAAATTGCATACTTCTTTTTTTTTCTTTTTTATTAGTGATAGCACAGCGGGTGGGGCGTTCGCCTTACAAGCGGCCAACATGGCCGACCCGAGTTCGATTCCTCCGCCCCTCTCGGAGAGCCCGGCAAGCTACCGAGAGTATTGGATATGCCAAACACAGTAACAACAAAGTCTCCGGTGGAGACGTTACTGGGCCCGCTCGAGCAAATCGACGATCAACGGGAGGGCCTTTACCTTTACCTTTACCTATTAGTGAAACACCATGAGGTACAGTTGTAGATTTACAAATTTTTGTGCTTGGATCTCGGTCATACCACGATCAAATACCCCTCCCTCCACCAGTGCCCATTTTCCACCACCAGGATAATATCCCTCCCCCCCATCCTCCCATTCCCCCCATCCCCCCCTGCCACTGTGGCAGGGCATTCCCCCCTGTTCTCTCTCTCCTCCTGGGCGCTGTGATCAGCCAAAGAGGCATTGAGTGGCGAACATGTTCAGTCCAGTCTACTTTCAACCTGCATCTCCCCTCCTGGGAGGATCCTCCAAACACCCTCCACTTGGTGTTCCCCTTTCTATCTGAATTGTCCTTTCCCCTAGAATACCCAGCTGGCCTCTAAGTTATGGAGTAATTCTCCTGGTGTTGCTCTCAGCTATTCTTGGGTATTAATCTCATATTTTATTATTTTATATCCCCCATAAGAATGCTATCTTTCTATGTCTATCCCTCTCTTTCTGATTCATTTCGCTTAGCATGATACTTTCCATATTGTACCACTTGTATGTAAAGTTCATGACTTCATCTTTTCTAAGAGCCACATAGTACTCCATTGTGTAGATGTACCAAAGTTTCTTTAACCAGTCATCTGTTCTTGGGCACTCAGGTCTCTTCCAGTTTCTGGGTACTGTAAAGAGTGCTGCAATGAACAAACAAGTGCAGATGTCACTTCGGCTACACGTTTTTGCCTCTCTGGGATATATTCCCAGGAGTGGTATCGCTGGGTCAAATGGGAGCTCAATTTCTAATTTTTTGAGGAACGTCCATACTGTTTTCCAGAAGGGCTGAACCAGTCGGCATTCCCACCAACAGTGAAGGAGTGTCCCTTTCTCGCCACATCCGCGCCAGCAACGGTTGCTTTTGTTCTTTTGAATGTGGGCCAGTCTCTGAGGTGTGAGATGGTATCTCATTGTGGTTTTGATCTGCATCTCCCTGATGATTAATGAGAAATTGCATACTTCTTACACCAAGAGTTCTATTCAGAAAATGTTGGGGCTGGACTGATAGCACAGCGGGTAGGGCATTTGCCTTGCAAACTGCCTACCTGGGTTCGTTTCCCAGCATCCCATATGGTCCCCTGAGCACTGCCAGGAGTAATTCCTGAATGCATGAGTCAGGGATAACCCCTGAGCATCACCAGGTATGACCCAAAAAAGAAAACAAAAGCAAAAAAAAAAAAAGAGTTCTACTCAGAAAATGTTAAAGAAATAGATAAAATTGTTAACATGTTAATTTTTTTTATCTGTGAAAGTGACCTCTTCTGGTTTGAGCCAGTGGCATGTTTAGATTTTGTAGACATATATATTGTCTGTACCTGATATTCTAACTATATGTCACCATAGATCAATCCTTCATTTTAGAAATACTGCAAGAACTATTTCTGTGGTAAAGACACCAGAAGCTAGAATAGCACGTTTGTTTATAGATAGAAGCAGATTTATTCTTTAAAAGGAAGGATATATCTCTTAAAGAGCTGTGTCCTATTCCGAATGCCATCTTGTGAATTAAAACCAGCAAAATTCCTTTGGATAATTTATCTTCCATTTGTCATTAGCTTTAGGTTGTATATTACTAATGACATAGGAATCTGTCATATGAACAAAAGGTCATGCTGGATGAAGAGGAAAGCAGAGCTAAAGAGGCGAGTCAGTATCCAGAATTAGGGGTTATTGAAGGGAATGCTGGAAAAGGATCAGGAATATGATTAGTGGAACACTTTGAAGTGGGGAGTATCAGAAATGACTTTATTGTTGGGAACTAGGTAGGTTTTAGAATCACCTCTCTAGCTTGCGTTTTTTTAAAAAAATTTTATTAGTGAAACACCATGAGGTACAGTTGTAGACTTACAAATTTTTGTGCGTGGGTTTCAGTTATACAATGATCGAGTACCCATCCCAACACCAGTACACATTTCCTACCACCATGGATCCCAGTATCCCTCCTACCACTCATCCCCCACATTCCCCTCTGCCCCTGTGGCAGGGCATTCCCTTTTGTTCTCTCTCTCCTTTTGGGTGCTGTGGTTTGCAAAAGAGGCATTGAGTGGCAATCATGTTCGGTCTATAGTCAACTTTCAGCATTCATCTCCCATCCTGGACGGATCTTCCCAACACCCTTTATTTGGTGCTCCCTTCTCTATCTGAGCTCCCTTTTCCCCAAGCATGTGCGGCTGCCCTCCAAGCCATGAAGTGAACCTCCTGGTACTTATCTCGGCTATTCTTGGGTGTTAGTCTCCTATTTTGCTACTTTATGTTCCTCATATGAATGCAATCTTTCTATGTCTGTCCCTCTCTTTCTCACTCATTTCGCTTAGCATGATACTTTCCATGTAGTACCACTTGTACGTAAATTTCATGACTTCATCTTTTCTAACAATCTAGCTTGCTTTTATGACATTCATATGACCATTAGAAGAAGTATATGCAAATCAACTCATGAGCCACTAGATAGTTATGGATGATGAGTTTGAGACAGAGAAAGAGGGGCAATTATATCTGTGGACATCATAACATTTGTAGCTGTAAGAGGCTCAAACCAGAAGAGATCACTTTCACAGATAAAAAAATTAACATATTAACAATTTTATCTATCTCTTTAACATTTTCTGAGTAGAACTCTTTTTTTTTTTTTGCTTTTGTTTTCTTTTTTGGGTCATACCTGCTGATGCTCAGGGGTTATCCCTGACTAAAAACAGGAGAGAAGACAGTAAAATATTGGGGAACGGGGTTAAGGACAATAACTTGAGATAGTCAAGAGCTGAATGGGTTGGTAGAGAGGGCCAGGATATAGTTGCTGTGTGAAAATGATTGCTCTTACCACTTAGAATAATTCATTTGAAGGTAGAAGAATACTATAAATATAAAAGAATATAAAAGTCACTCTTTTAAAGTGACTTTACCCAGATCTAATGGCTACTATTACAACTTTCCCTCACTCCAGTCTCTGCTCCAGCTGTTCATCTTTAGCAGACTGACTAGTAACTCTTCTGGTCCTTGCCAAAACCTCCTATTACCATGTCTTTCTTCTCTTTGCACTTCATGTTCCTTATATTTTTCTTTATTGCTCCAATATGTCCTTTAAAGTCCAAGAATCCTCTAGGAGACCATGTCAGTGGCACTGTTATTAGAAGTGTATTATAGTTCCTTATTGATTGAACCTGTTGTTCATATATATCCCAAAGGTTGCTTATAAGTAAGTTATCCCCTTTACTTCCTTATAGTCTAAAAGAAACTAAAAACAACAATAACAACAACAAAAAAAGGCCACGCAGATTCTTCTCTCTCTGGAAAGTAAAACATCACTTGCTTATTTCCCCTACCCACACACTCTTGGCCCCAGTGAATATGTACTTTAGGACAGTGATTATGTATATGGTAAAAAAGCATAAAAATATTTTACATTGCTTTCCCATGAATTCTTTCAAATATGAGTTATTTATTGAGAGAGTTTATGAACATCATCAATTAGGAAATCCCTACAAAGAGCCAGTTTCCCCCCATTGGTGTGAGGAGAGTCACACAATGTGGCTGGGATGCATGGAAGCTGCTTTGTTTCTCCTAGTCCAAAACACTTATGTTGCGGGCAGGAGGACCCTGACCGTAAGAACAGCAGCTGCAGTCTCCCAAAACGGCAGTCCCACATTGACATTTTAGAGCTTTGGGTCCAGTTATAGATAGTGACATGGGTCTTATTTTGCTGACTCATCTGTATAAGGCTCAATCTGCAGAAAAATGAGGGAACTGAAGATGGTTAAAGTTTGAAAATCATGAGGACAAGAAATAACGGGGGAGCAGGGGCAGGGCCATGAACATATTGGAAATGTAGAGAAGTATATAAAACTTATATCAAAATCACAGACTCAGCAACACCGGAAACTGAGGTTCAAACCACAACCCACAACCTCCAAAACTGTGCCTATCAAGGAGCCAGGCTGGTGGGAAGATAACCCAGGGGGTGAAATTGGTGCTAGAACATTTTTTGTCTAAAGTTCAACTATCAGGGCTGGAGCAATAACACAGAGGGTAGGGTGATTGCCTTGCATGCAGCCAACCTGGGTTTGATTCCCAGCATCCCATATGGTCCCCTGAGCACCGCCAAGGATATTTCTGAATGCAGAGCCAGGAGTAACCTCTGTGCATTGCCAGGAGTTACCCAAAAAGACAAAAAAATAAAATAAATTAAAAATAAAGTTCAACTATCAAGAACTTTGTAAATCACGGTTCTTAATTTATGTATTTATTTATTTATTTATTTGTCTGGAGTCGTAGCACAGTGGGTAGGGCGTTTGCCTTGCACGCAGCCGACCCGGGTTTGATTCCCTTGCCCCTCTTGGAAAGCCTGGCAAGCTACCAAGAGTATCCCGATCGCACTGCAGAGCCTGGTAAGCTCCCACTGATGTGTTCGATATGCCAAAAACAGTAACAACAAGTCTCACAATGGAGACGTTACTGGTGCCCACTTGAGCAAATTAATGAACAAAGGGAGGACAGTGCTACAGGACAGTGCTATTTATTTATTTATTTATTGGGCTGGAGCGATAGCACAGCGGTAGGGCGTTTGCCTTGCATGTAGCCAACATGGCCGACCCGAGTTCAATTTCTCCGCCCCTCTCGGAGAGCCCGGCAAGCTACCGAGAGTATCTCACCCGCACGGCAGAGCCTGGCAAGCCACCCGTGATGTATTCGATATGCAAAACACAGCAACAGTCTCACAATGGAGACGTTACTGGGCCCGCTCGAGCAAATCGAGCAAATTTATTTATTGCTTTTTGGGTCACCGAACCCGGTTTTGCTGCGTGCAAGGCAAACCCCCTACCCGCTGTACTATCGCTCCAGCCCCACGGTTCCTTAATTTTAAAAAATGCATAAAAATAAGTAGGATTCCTTTTATTTATCAAAAAAAAAAGTTTGAAAATCTTTGTTAGTTTCTGTCTTGACTGATACATTCAGCAGACTAGCCTCAGCAGGAATTGTTGCCCCGACCTAAGTGATCTTTGTGATGGACTGACCTATTCATCAGATGTTTTCATCTCAAGCATGCCCAGATGCTTCATTGACTGAGTATTCATTGATTACCTACAAGTGATTTGGGGCATTAGAAAGCACTAGGGCCTTACACCCTGCCCTTTACTTTTCTTTACACTAACATTTGCTCAGGAGAGATGACTTATCTGCCTTCTCAGCTTGCCATATAGACCTAGCTTTCAGTTCTTAGAAAGGTAAGAGAGTTGTCAGAAATACTTCAAATAAAATAACTATATTGTGAAATCCAAATAAGCAGCAGTGGAAAAAAATCAATATTTAATTTTTTTTGGTAAGGTAAGAAACAGTATTAAATGAAACAAAATTCAAGAATATCCTGAGAAAGCTGGACAGTTGTTACTCGTCAGAAAACAGAGGGGTCCTGGAAAGTGAAACTCACACACACACTTTGATGGCACTAGATCCATGGTACAAAATTATTGAATGTTTTCAGACATTTGGAAAAGACATCCCTCAATGGGACGTATGAGTCATACTGTTCTAGGAGTTGGTCATGTGAGTTGTCTACGTCCTCAGGAGTTTTTTTTTCTTCAGATTGTCATCCCACCCAGGAGCATCGGTGTGGGGACGGGCGCTGCATTGCAATAGAGTGGGTTTGTGATGGTGATCATGACTGCGTAGACAAATCTGATGAAGTCAATTGCTGTGAGTACCATGAGGATCTTCATTTTTTTAATTTTTCTATTTCTGCCCACTAAATCAACAATTCTCGAGGCTCATTATCCAAACAGCATTCAATGGGAAAGATCGTGATACTTTGGGCCAAAGTTAATAAGATAATAATTAAGTGGTGGAGAGCAATCACAAAGCAGTGTAGCCAAAATCCACATCTTTCTCTCCAAAAGTCCAGACTTAATCTGGCTGTTCTAGCTGAACCTATTTATTTTTTTCTCTCTCTGTTTCCTACATCTCCTTTGTGCATTGAATTTGTCAAAGGAGACATTCTTCCCCAAATGGAATGTCATTTATCTTATTTTCAGGAGCTCCTACACTTTTCTCCTTTGTGCCCCGAAGATAAAACAAAGCAAAAAGAATGGGGAGTTTTAACATTTGATTAAGCAATCCAGTGAAGACCACATAAAATTTTGATGCTCAAAGAAGCAATAGAATTTAGACAGTCTTTAAAATCTGGAAAGTTAATGGGCACTAGACAGTTTCTTTCAAACATCAGATGTCATATCCAGTTTCAAAATGAGGTGTTAATTGGGTGGTAGATATTATACAGGTTTGTCTATACATATTACTTTGATGAATCATTAGGTTGCATTTGGATAGAAAGACAGGTTGGCACTTGCATTTAAAGCAACTTTGCTTTTATATTTTTCATCTGACCCAACCTGTTAACATCTATGTGATCTTGCATAGGTACCAACTTTCTAAACTTAACTTCCCTTATTTCAAGCAAGGTTAATAATATTTACTTTGCAAGTTGATTATGAGAATTTGGGATTTGGTACATAGTAATCCCAGTATGGTTATTGGTGTAAGCTTTAGTAAATTATAGCTTTTATAGTGGTAAATTAATACTACTGTCATTAATATGATTTCCCACATGTAGTTATCAAGAAAAAGTAATTTTTGATAAGTGTTTTTAATAAGGCAAGAAACATTCAAGGAAGAAGATTTTCTGCTCCAGAATGACTGAGAATTTTTTAAAAAATAGCAATGTATTCATTTATTTTTTGACAGATCATTCAGACATTCAAAACATGTCTATTTTTAGGAAGGCTAGATAAATGGGGTCATTTATGTAATCTGCATAATGAAAACAGAATAAGGAGATAAAGTTAATATTTTCGACCTTTTTAAAGCCTGTCTCAGCCAGGGCCTAGTGGAATGCAGAAATGGACAGTGTATACCCAGCACATTTTGGTGTGATGGAGACGAGGACTGTAAGGATGGAAGTGATGAGGAGAACTGCAGTGACAGTAAGTGTGTGTTACATTCCTTATTGATGGCTCTTTCCTTGGGAACAGAACAAAAAGTTGGAAGTTCCTTCATGCCTCAATAACATTCCCACATAAATAATTCCAAATTGCTTGACACACTGGTCCTCATGGCACTGGTTTGACAGAAAAGCCTTTCTTGTAGAAAAGACCATTTTCATGAAATTTATACTGAAAAAATATTCCCTAGAGTCAACAATAGAGTTTAAACAGGCGAATTCAATTGTTTTATTTTTTTTTAAATGAAAATTTTATTGGCTCACCATTGGTTCACATTACTATATACACTTCAGAAGAGCAACTTCATCCATGTGTATGTGTATATACATCTTTTTTATTGAATCACAGTGAGATACAGTTACAAAGCTTTCATGTTTGAGTTTCAGTCATACAGTGATCAAATACCCATCCCTACACCAATGCACATTTTTCCACCACCAATGTCCCCAGTATCCTCCCCCCTACCACCCCTCCCCCTGCCTCTATGGCAGGCAGTTTCCCTCATATTCTCTCTCTACTTTTGGGTATTATGGTTTGCAATACAGATACTGAGAGGCTATCACATTTAGTCCTTTATCTACTTTCAACATACATCTCCCATCCCAATCGATCCTTCCAACCATCATTGACTTAGTGATCCCTTCTCTATTCCAGCTGCCTTCTTCCCCGGATCATGAGGAAGGCTTCCAGCCATGGAACGATATTCCTGGCCCTTGTGTCTACTGTCCTTGGGTGTCAGTCTCACATTATGTTATTGGATATTCCACAAATGAGTGCAGTCTTTCTATGTATGTCCCTTTCTGACTTATTTCATTTAGCATTGATACTCTCCATGACCATCCACTTATAAGCAAAGTTCATGACTTCATCTCTCCTAACAGTTGCATAGTATTCCATTGTGTAGATGTACCAAAGTTTCTTTAACCAATCATCTGTTTTCGGACACTTGGGTTGTTTCCGGATTCTGGCTATTGTGAACAGTGTTCCAATGAACATACAGGTGCTGATGTCATTTCTACTGTGTTTTTTTCACCCTTGAAATATATTTCCAGAAATGGTGTTGCTGGGTCAAGAGGAGCTTAATTTCTAGTTTTTAAAGGAATGCCATATAGTTTTCTTAAAAAGTGATTCAGTTGTTTCATGGGAAAAGGCATATGAAGAGAAAATTTTGTTGTATAGTATTCAATTAAATTATATTAGATTCTAATTAGAAAGAACTTGCTTCTGAAATTATATGTAAACAACTTCCTAAAATAACCACGTTCAGAGAAGCAGCTTAATGTCTCCCATTAGCAAGCAATATACTTAAGTATGTATTAAAAGGAGGTTGGTATCTGTTATGGAGCACAAAAGAAAACATAAATCAAATAAATTGTTTTTTAAAAAATGTGATGGTTTATGTCAGAGAAGTTCCACTCTGCTTGTCTGGAGTCCAGTTTATGTTAAATCATCTCACAGTCCAGACCTTGTCAGAATATCTGTAGACTTGAAAATCACTATGTTTGTTCCTAATGTACCTTTTGGTAAGAGTGTGTTGTTTCCACCTCACTGCCTGGGTTCAGATTCCAGCTCTGCCATCTACTATCTGGTTGTCTTAGGTCAATATGTCTTAGTTTCTGACTGTAGACTCAGAATAATGATAACTACTTCATAGAGTTGGCCCATGACAAACACTTACTAAATGCTAATTATTACAGTACAGGAATAATGCAAAAGCATGTCTTAGGCTATGTATATCTGAACTGAGCAAATGAGACATGTTACAGACACCCAAATTAGCTTTTCATAATGAATATTTATTGTTAGAATAACTTTAATGAAATAGCATTCCAACTAAATGGTTTTTAAATAAGTGCTTTATAGAAAAGATCTATAAAGATATTTAATACAACCAATTTATTATATATATAAATATCTTATATAGAGAGAAATACACAGAGAGAGTATGTTTCATATTACCAATTTGAAAATTTAGAACAAAATTCTTTGTAGACATGAGTTAGTAACTGTGTATAAGTCAAGAGCCTCTCTTGGGATCAAACTGTTCTGTTTTTCTATAGAATGAATTTTATTTGAAATAATTTTAGGATCTTCACTATATAATTCAAGGTTTTGTAAACAACTTATACTATATGATATGTAAGAAAGTGATAAAATAAAATGAATTGAAGATAAAATTTTATGTTATTTACTTCAGTGAAGTAAATTGTATGCACATTGTGGTACTACTACACGTTTTACCCCCTGTGAATTCCATGACAAACAAAGAAGGTATTGGAAATTGCAGATTTTTAGGGCAGATATACCTGACTTTTTTAAACATATATGCAAGTCAAGGTCTGTCAAGTGACATGAATTATGAAGGAAAATTCAAGGTGTTGTACTACCATGTATGGGTAACATGTTGTGGTAAAAAGTCTAAAGGAACTTCCTCACCTCCATGAAGAAGAAGTGTTGGAGCAAAGATCTTAAGAATAAATTGAGTAATCAAAGGAGAGAGGGAAAAGAGAAAGCTCTTTGGCACAGAAACACTTTGCCGAAAGATTACTAGGAAAAAATCATTATGATTAGCAAGCAGAGAGTGAAGGAGAGCATGCCACTATGGAATAACTGTCAGTGGTGATCTCTGACTAATTTTGCCAGACAAACCGAGAATGGAAGTAAGGGTCATTTCTCATAGGTCATTGGGTTCTATTTAAGATTTGGTCCTTCACAGTTCTCAGATTCTTCCTAGTCTCCAATTCATTCCCTCTACCTTCCTCAGTGACTTGAGTTCTGGTGATGTTAACTTTTAAGTACTTTGTAATTCCAGTCTTTGCATAGTCTTCCAACTGCTTGGGAAGTCCCTTTTTCCTTCTCCCAACTTTATCTGCATGTAAAACTCCTTTGAGAAGATTGCCTTTTACTACCCTAGTTTGCTTCTACTGCTCCCAGGTTGGCCTTCAGTAGAGCAATGTTCACATAATGTAATCAGGTTCTTTTCACGATAATATTCCTAGTTAGAATTTAAGTTATAAACTCTTTTATCTTTAAATACTTAGCATACTTAATAACTGCTGAAAATTAATGTATGTGGTATTCTATTCCTCTTGGAGAGCCTGGCAAGTTACCAAGATTTCCTGCCCGCAGGTCAGAGCCTAGCAAGCTATCCATGGCATATTCGATATGCCAAAACCAGTAAATACAATAAGTCTCATTCCCCTAACCCTGAAAGAGCCACAAATATGGCAGCATTAAGAAGGATGATGAAGGAGAGGCTGATAAAATCTCAAGGCCAAACTAGGCTACCAAAATGAAGAAGGACAAAAATGACTGTCTGTACTTTCAATGCACGTACCCTGGATTTGGATGCATCAATTGAGGACCTGATGGTGCAAGCGCGAAAATTCAAGTACGACATCATTGGTCTGACTGAGATGAGAAGGCATCAATCACATCACGTCATTTGCAACACTGGAGAAGAACTATTCCTCGAAACATGCTATAAAAAAGAGGCATCAGCGGTATTGGTGTCCTTGTCAACATGAACTTGGCCATGAGCTTTGAGTCATTTGATGCCTAACAACAGGAATCGGACATTTACATTTGAATAGATGTGGCTCACTGCCTGCAGTTTCTATCTCCATTGTCTATGCACCAACATCCAATTATGATGAAGGAGAAATTGAGAAGTTCTACAGGGAGCTGGAGAAGTTCTATAAAGAAGACCACACCTTCTACAAGATCATTGTTGGTGATTTCAATGCCAAGATAGGACCGAGAAGATCAGCCAAAGAACTTCACATCGGGACCCCTGGCCTAGAATGGAACAAACAGTGTGAGAGACTCTCTGAGTTCATCATGTCGACCAAGACCACCCTTGGTAACTCACAGTTCCAGAAAGCTGAATCTAAGCATTGGACATGGGAGTCACCGGTGGACCACATCATATTCGATCGATGGTTTTGCCTGACCGATGTTGCTGTTGTGCCAAAATTCCAAATGGGATCAGACCACCATCTCCTTTGTGCAAAATTCTACTTCACAGAGCTGGGAGAAAGGGCTGCAAAATTTAAGAAGAGAACTCCCAGAATGACCACCAACTGGGAGCTCTTTGGCATTATTGTGGCAACACGGGAAGATGCCATCCTTGACAACATTGATGAAGAATATGATCGACTGGTTCAGCATCTCCATGTTTGTGCGAGGAAAACTGAGAGAGAGAGAAGTCACAAAAAGACGCCTATCTTCGAAAACTCTTGAGCTCATTTGCCAACATGGCTTGGCACAAGCCTCAGGCAACCACAAGCAAATGTCCGAGCTCGCAAAGCAGTGCAAAGAAGCAATAAAGGAAGACCTCAAAGAGAGAAGAGCAGCAGTGCTGCAGATACGGCAGAAGATGGAAAAAGCATTCGCAACACCTGCCTGTCCTCCACCAACTACAAGACCAAGATGACTTCCCTCCCCCCCTGTCCTGATGGATCTATCACATCTTCCAGAAGGACAATGGAGAAGATCATCCATGCCTTCTATTCGGATCTCTTCGATGACCACGTCTACCTGCCCACATACCAAATTCCGCAGGATGGATATGTCATTCCCAACGTTCTCACTTTCGAAATCCAACACGCCATTTCGTCAGTAAAGAAGCGAACAGCACCTGGACCGGACAAGGTCAGACCTGAACACCTGAAGAACCTGCTGTCAGTTCTCTTCAATACACTGGATCTGCTCTTCACATGCTACCTGTCTGAATGCAATGTTCCATCCCAATGGAAAATCAGCAGGACTGTAGTACTGTACAAGAAGGGAGACATTCACGACATTGGCAACTATTGTCTGATCTGCCTGTTGTCTGTCGTCTACAAGCTGTTCACTCAAATTATCCTGAATAGGATTGGCAGAACACTAGAAGGACAACCATGAGAGCAAGCCAGATTCCAAAAAGGATTCAGCACGATCGACCATACCCACATGGTCACCAAGCTCATTGAGGTTTCTCGGGAGTTCAAGATGCTGCTTTGTCTAGCGTTCATTGAATTAAAGAATGTCTTTGATTCTGTTGAGACTGAAGCAGTCACTGAAGCCCTAGCCAAACGGCATTCAAACTCAATACATCAGGTTCCTTCGTGAGCTGTATTTTGGATGCACTACCAGGAACTCACCATTCTACAAGGAAGTGATCGCCCATGTCAAGAAAGGGGTTCGGCAGAGTGATACCATTTCACCAAAACTCTTCAGTGCCACCCTGGAGAATGTCATGCAATGACTGGAATGGGAAGGAATTGGAGTGAAGATCGGCAACTACACCACCTCGCTTTGCTGATGACATCGTTCGTTCTAATAACACCAAACATTAGCCAAGTAGCACAAATGCTGGCCGACTTCAACCGTGAATGTGGAAAGGTCAGACTACAGCTGAATCTCACAAAGGCAATGTTTATGAAAAATGGTCTCGTTCCTGACATTCCATTCGCTCTAAACGGAACAACCATCTCCAAACACAACAGTTATGTGTACCTAGGTCGAGAAGTAAACATGACAAATGACCTAGCACCTGAGTTGCACAGGAGGAAGAGAGTGGCTTGGAACACCTTCAAGAACATCAAAGTAATAGCTAAGAGATTAAAGAACCTCTAGCTCTGGGCACATCTCTTTGATTCCACTGTTCTTCCTGCATTAACATACGCCTCAGAGACCTGGTCCCTACAAAAACTGGATAAGAACGCTATTTGGGTCTCCCAAAGAGGAACCAAAATAGCTGTACTTGGAGTATCACGTTTCACTCAAGTGAGAGAAGGAATCCGGAGTTTTGACCTCCATCAACGATTGAGAATCAGGGACACTGTCTCATTTGCCAAGGCATCGAAAATCAGATGGACTAGACACGTAATGTAATTTGAAGACGACTGCTGGACTAGAGCCATTACCAACTGAATTTTATGGGATGTCAAAAGATCGTGTGGCTGCCCACCCTTGTGATGGTCAGACTTCTTCATCAAGACCCTGAATGATCGGTTTGAGGTTCTTCGTGTTCCTGGAGTGAGCAAACACCATTGGGCTACACTAGCACGTGACAGGGATGAATGGAGATGTTGCTGGTGCCTGCTCGAGCAAATCCATGGTAACGGGATGTCAAGTGATCAAGTGATCAAGTGGTGTTCTAATAATTTTAAGAGATTAAATTTATAGTAATCAGCCTGCTTACTTCACAATAAATTTGAATGTGATGACATTATAGACAGAAAAATAGATCCCTCTTTTCTGCAATTATTATTATTATTATCACACAATAGTGATAAACATTTGTCTCAGATTACAGATGCACTGTAGCACTGTTCTCCTGTTGTTCATCAATTTGCTCAAGCGGGCACCAGTATCGTCTCCATTGTAAGACTTGTTGCTACTGTTTTTGGCATATTGAATATACTATGGGGAGCTTGTCGGGCTCTGTCAGGCAGGCGGGATATTCTTGGTAGCTTGCTGGGCTCTCTGAGTGGGATGGAGGAATCAAACTCAGGTTGGCCGTGTGCAAGGCAAATGTCCTACCCACTATTCTATTGCTCCAGCCCCAGATTACAGATAAGAATGATTATGTATGCATATGTAATTTTTTAACTTGACGATTCCCTAAAAGATTTTAGATGATGTGTCTGAAAGTAATCAACTATAGTAATGAATATTAGGAAGAGAAAGGTCAGTGATTTATGACTTTTTCCATTTAATCGACAAATGAGCAGAAATCAATGGGAAACGCAATTCCCTTTCTACATACCTTAAGGAAAAGCCATTAGGCTAGCATTGCTTCTCTCATTTTCCAGGAAACAAGAAACCCAATTCTCAGATCATCAGCTAAAGCAATGACACTTTTCAAGAACACATAGAAAATATGGATAACAGCTGCGTAGGATTTCTATTATGATAATGTATATTGTACTCATACTGGTTTCCTCTTTGTCTTTAGGCAAGTTTTTTCCTTGAAAGGAAGTGCATAATTGGCATCAAATTAATCTTTAATGTTAAATTAAAGTCAAAATTTCACGTCTTTAGAATGATTTCTCCAACATAGCACTTGACTTTTATTTTGTGATCAATATAACCACTCTTGTAAATGTAAAACTTTTATTTTCCTTAAAAGTGACGAGCTGGCTTGCTCCTCAAGTCAGTGTTCTTGAAGGCTGGCTTGTTTGTCTCTGTTTCTTTGTCTCTTATAAGAGGTGTGCTTGTTTGTCTCTGTTTCTTTGCTTATTTCCATTGGAGAAGCCTGTGTTCTCTCTTGAACACATTTCCTCTCACATCTTTCTAAGCATATTTCATTCAATAAGAAAAACTACATTGTTTCATTTTTTTAAAAAGTAACATGTTGTTTTTGTTTTTAAAGAATAGATTGCCTCAGTTTATTCATCCTCACAGATCCTTTCAGAATAACGGTGTTATATTAAGCTGCCTGGAAAATAAATCCAGAAAGTACCTGTTCAACATGTGTTCAATATTTGGAAAGAAATTGGAAGGAAATTAAATGTGTGTCATTCCTCAGCTCCCCTAGACATCTTGAGCCTTTAGATCCTGGTGTAAAGAATTCACGGATGATGAAAGTGAATGTGCCTCTCCTCCCCCCTCCTGTAGGTCAGGCTCCATGTCAAGAAGGAGACCAAAGATGCCTCTACAATTCCTGCCTTGATTCATGTGGTGGTAGCTCTCCCTGTGACCCGAGCAACAGTCTGAATAACTGTAGTAAGTATAGCAGCTGACAAATGCAATTACTATGGCAGGATGTGCATTCAGCTTTTTTCTTTTTCATTGACATGAGTATGTTGAAGTCTGGAATCCCTCCAAAAATATACATTATTATTTGTAAAAAATTTTTAAAGGTCGCCTGTCTAGCAGAAAAGAAACAAAATGGTCTTAATTAACTTAAATAAAAAACAAATGTGTCATTGTGAATGGGCTATAAATTCATATTGTTTAATATTATTACCATTACTTTTAACTCAACATCAGCTCCTATATATTATTTTCTTGGCTCCATCTGCAGGCAGATGCTAACTTCTTTCCTTTTGAAAAGCATGGCTTAAAAAATGGAAGCTTTCTCCAAGAAATCAATACTGTAAAGTTAGCTACATATGACTTCAGAGGCTCTGTTCTTTTGACAAAATGTATTCTCACCTTTCCAGGAACTTTGCTGACCTGTTAATGATTTGTAGTCATCATTTTCATTTATTTCTCTGATGTATATAAGTGGTTCCATTTCTGTGAGCTTTCAGAAGGAGGAATGATTAGGAGTTATGCACAGTCTAAGAACCATAGATAAAAAAGAAAGAAAAAAAACATAGATGACTGAATAGACTCAGAGGAATTTTAAAATGAATCAGAACTCATCCCTGACTTTCCAAGACTCTGATTTCTGGTGATGCTTTCTTTCTCCTGGGACCTGCTTTTATATCGAACTCACAGCTCTCATTTTTATTTGTTACTAAATTTTTACTCCAACTTCAGACTAGACATCAAGTTTAGAGATGGACTGCCAGCTTTTCATTGGCCAAGGGGAAAAACTTAACAGAGCCTATCCGGGGAAGGCTGGTGAAAAGTGGGAAGCTAAAGAGCTTTGGGTTCTTGGGTATGTTGCCCTTTGCGATCCTAGTTTAATGGCATGACCTTTCTGAGTAGGTATCCAGTTGATAGGAGATTCCCTCTCGCTATTGGGTAGTGTCAATGGGTGAAAAAGTTGTCCGGAAGGGAGTGAGGGAGGCAGCTAGTTTTAAAGCCAGGTTGCTGGCCTGTTTGTTTCCTTTCATGGGTGTTTGATAGCTGTTGGAACTGTTTAAATGAAAGCTCAGTACTTAAGTTTCTTCTGTCCCTACACAAGCAAACATTTCAGGTGAATCTCCGTTTGACACTAAGTCATGCTACCATTTTGCTCATTCAAAACTGATAAAAATGTATATACATTTGTATTTAGAAGTCCATTAGATATATGTGTATATGTGTGTCTATATAGGTCCATTGTTTCACTTGGCTGATCTCCCAGTGCACCTGAAGATTTTCAGTCATTTCTGTCCTTTGTCTTGAACTTGGGCTGAATCATTTGGAACAGTGACAGTGCCATCTATATGATGTGTGTCTTGTTAAAGTCTGGGGAAGTGCCTGATATGCCTGCCCCTTCCTGTTAGACACCAACAAGTTGGAAAAACAGTGTCCGCATTTCATTTTAGTGGGGAATAACAGTGTATATGTAACCCTATTTCCTCTGTATTTGAAAGATTTCACAAACTTTAGATATATTATTTAAAGGAAGTCACGTGGGCCCACGGAGATAGTGCATCCTTTGCATGCAGGAAACCCAGGTTTTATCCTTAACCCACATTGTCCTCCAGATATCCCTCAGGTGCACTCCCTCCCCCGCCGCAGCACAACGGGTGTAGCCCCAAAGCAAGGCAAATAAAACAAACAGAACAGAACATAAGGGTTAGGGAGAGCATGCATCTACTCTGGCTCATAACCAACCAACCAGCGCTGTGTCATACAACGTTCCAAGTATTGACATAGGTGCTATTTAATTTTATTTGGCTTGAGGCCACACTAACAGTACTGAGGATTTATTTCATACTCTACTCTCAGGGATTACTCCTGGCAGGCTAGGGGGACCATAGGAGGTGATAGGGATTAAACCCATGTTGGCCATGTGCAAAGTGCCTGACCCACTGTACTATCTATTTGGTCCCATATTGGGCATTTCAATGGTGAAGATAAAAGACATGATTTATACTTTTTCATAGATAATTTTTCAATGTGGAAGACTATCTTGCCAACTTCATACAAATCTATACTATTTTGTTTTTTCTCTTTATGTTTTTCAAATGCACTTAGTTTCCCTAATATCTCACTGGCCCATTCACTTAAACATTCTTTATAGAGGTCTTGTCAAATGCTCTTCATATATATATATTTTTTTTCCAGTAAACCTGTGAGCATTCCAGCGTTTGAATGCTGGTCACTGGGATCAGTGGTGGATCTTCATTATTCTCTGTTCTTGAAAACTGTGCATATACTTATTTGCAGTTGAGAGTCAAGATGTTATTTCCTATTTCTCAAAGAGCTTCAGGATCATATGTGAGCACTTATGTATGAGATGCATAAGTGTATGGAGAATAGATGCTTATGTGTCTTATTCTATCTTTCATCCAATATTCCCTCCTGTAAAGGTGGGAAAGTAGCATCTCCTCTTAGAAAATGCATAGTATTTTTGAAAATGTGATTACTTTCTAAAATATCTTTGCCAGTATTAGATTCTGTTGTCTAGTAGGCGCTGAAGCACAGTGACACAGTACCCTCTCTAGCTTCAGAGGAGGAGCTAAGTTTGGAGAATGTGGATGGATTCAGCTTCTCACTAGAGTTGCTGGGAGTCTACAACTAAAATACAATAAGTGTTCAATTTTCAAAAGAAAGTATAAGAATCTCCTTTTTGGATGGTATTATATACTCAAAGTCTTAAAGTATCACTGTAACATCACATCATGTATAATCCATCACATTTAACAACCTGTAACCTGATGGAAGGCCTAATTCGGCAAAGCCTTGATTTAGAGGATAGAATTAATAACATTATTTCCTCTGTATGGTATGGAAGAACTGATCCATTACTTCTCCCTCATATAGTGGTAAAACAGACAACTGGGAGAAATGCCAGAAAGAGCAGCTTCCTGGGAGCTGGAGAAACTAGTACTGCAGGCAAGGCACTTGCCTTACATGTGGTCTTGATCCTTGGTACCCTCATCTCACTAGGAATGATACCTGAGCACAGAGCCAGATGTGGCTCAAAAACACAAAACAAAACAAAACAAAAATGGAAAAAAAATAGCAGCTTCTGGATAGGTTTCTTCCCACCATCGCACCTATGAACTTCATGGCCATATGAGCTCTTGTATGGTGACTGTGATACCTAGGGATCCCTCCTGAATTTCCTGTATGTTCCATGACCCTTATTTCTATGTTTCGACATGCATTTTCTCAACAAAAGTCAAGAACATGTTTTGAATAATTTTTGGAATAATGTTTTGATAAATTTAAAGTTTTTAATTTTTTTAAAAATTTATTTATTTATTTTTAAATTTTTATTAGTGAGACACCATCAGGTACATTTGTAGACTTACAAATTTTGTGCTTGGGTTTCAATTATACATGCCAGCCGCACATGCTAAGGGAAAAAGCAGCTCAGATAGAGAAGGGCGCACCAAATAAAGGGTGTTTGGAGGATCCTCCCAGGATGGGAGAAGCATGCTGAAAGTAGACTATTTATTTATTTTTTAATGAATCACCGTGAGATACAGCTACAGACTTATAAACTTTTGTGATTACATTTTAGTCAAACTATGATTGAGTATCCATCTCTCCAACGGTGCCCATTCTCCACCACCAATATCCCCTCCCCCTCTCCATTGCCTCTGTGGCAGGCACATTCCCTTTTACTCTCTCTCTCTCTACTTTTTTTTGGGGGTGTTAAGGTTTGCAATACAGGTACTAAGTGGTCATCATGTTTGGTCCATAGTCTCCTTTCAGCACACATCTCCCATCCCGAGCAAGCCCTACAAGCATCATTTACTTACTTTTATTTTTAAAACATTTCCCCTGGGCTATCGATTTCTTATCTCCTTTTTGCAAGGTCTAATTTGACAAAACAAATGCTAAAGAAGTAAGTCCTGGGAGCAAATATTCACAAATCACAAATCATCCTGTTATTCGTGGATTGCCTCGAGCAGGCCCTCTTTCATCCTAGCCCTGAGATTATATTCAAGGCTCTTTAGGAGAATGAGACCCATCATTGTTACTGGTATTTGGCATATTGGGTACGCCACGGGGAGTTTGCCAGACTCTGCCGTGTAGCAGTTTGTCCAAAGTAGCAGTGAGATAATAAGATGTCATAATAAGATGTCGCGCAGCCGCGAATGCGGCCCTGCGGTTCCGGGAGCTGGTTTTTATAGCCTCTGAATCTTGGCCGTTGATGGGATTACACGGCGCCAGGGGGCCAGTTAGTGGGTGTGACCCCTGCCTACTGGAATTTGGAGGATCTGGGTGGAGGATGCTCGGCCCCAATCCGAGTAGACTTGGAGATCTCCGCCCCGGAACCCGGAACAAGAAGACAGACATGATTTCTGATGAGAATACCACAGTGCTTACCCTGAGTCTTGCCAAGGGAAGGAAATCCCTGTTCAGGAAGTAGGGACAATAAAGGCATATTTAATCTCACTGAGAGTGGAAGTATGCAGTTAGCAAAATACAATTTTAGCACAATCTGGGGTTAAGTCTTTTTCTCTTCTCCAGTTAAATCATTAGGGAAAAAGGGATAGAGCAGGATCCCAGATATTGTGAGACTAAAAAGACAAATCAGGTTTTTAAAATGTGCAGGCCTAAACTATAGTACTTCATAAAATGAGATAATAATTATGACTACTCAACATTTACTTGAGGTGGGGGAAGGAGAAGGTTGATAGAATACAGCATATGGATAGGCCTCTGGTATGTCTGCTGACAGTTATAAAAGTTATAAGTTATAATGATAATTTATCAAACTTTTAAAAAGGCAAAGGTAAATTTTGGAATATCACATATACTAATGCTGTTTAAAGTGATATTTTCCCATGTAAATGATCATTTAACATAGATGTCAATAGCTTCAGGGAATTGCATCTTTTTAAAAAAATCACCGTGAGAAAATCACCGTGAGATACACAGTTGCAAAACTGTTCATGGTTGAGTTTCAGTCATACAATGTTCCATCACCCATCCCTCTCCAAGTGTACATACATCTTGATAAGAATGTAATATCATTTACTGAATTTTCCCATATTTAAGTTGCATAGAGCAGCTTCTTATTTCAGACATTGAAAAGTATAATCTACTAAGTCTCTATCAGGGTCACTCATTTCAACAGATACTTGTTAATTCTTACTGTGTCAAGCTTGCAGGAAAGTAGTTCTGAGACATTGAAGGGTTTTCAATTTTGTGAAGAGAACTCCCTCTAGCGGTTTTCTCAAATCAGGATAGTGAGCAAGTTTAATGCTTAAGATGAAAAAGCTTATTGATATCATAAATCATAGAATTTAAAGTTGCCAGATATCTTGAGAGTTTATCTTGCTTAGCATTAATGTGAAGAATGCCACGTGAAGAAATAAAACACAATATTCAATCTGCCTTGCCGCATTCAATAAAGATCTCAAGAATAACGTATGACCATAACTTAATCCTTTTATCTCCCTTGGCTCTGAAATACTTTAAAGTTATATATTACCACAAATCAAAAGTATTTGTTCTCCACACATCAGAAGGCATAAAAGTTATCCATGCAACATGACTATGACTATGAATCATATAAACGAAATAATACTAACAAAAAATAAACCTTGTAGAAAAGAAAGAAAAAACATAGAAAGAATAATAGATTGCATCAGAATCTGGTTGATTTCATTTTTATAAAATTACAAGTTTATTAAAGGAACTAGGAATAATATAGTCAGAACTGTGTCTGATTTGTGAAATGGTTCTGATAAATGACCAACACAAGGAAATTGAAGAGAAATAGGAATTGTAAAATGTATTTCAGCAAAAAGGAGCACATGCAGGCATCTATGTATTTAAGTGCTTATATGTGGATATAGGTATATTTGTAAGTGCTTATACACATATTTATATATATATATAGGAATATATGGATTTGTTAGATCTGAGCAAGTGAAATGCATGGAAGGATTTATCCCTCTTTTTTGGCTTTGAGAGACTATCGGAGAAAATGACTAGAAAGATGATGAACTCATCTTTGTTTTGAGAAATGCACATATTAAAACCTGAAATCAAACTATTAAATATTACTTTTATTTTACAAATCAAGGGAAATGGTAAAGGGAACAAGTCTCTTGCTTCCTTCCTCTTCTCTCCATCCTAAAGCCTGGTTTCAGAACTTTGCCAATTTTACAGCACTTCATATTCTTCAGTAAAGTGAAGCTTTATTTCATTTTGTCTGTGAGACTTTGAATCTGGCCAGCATCAGACTTCTTAGTAACACAATCTCTCTGAATCACTCAATTCTTTTGTAAGAAGTCATAAGAGCTGTTTAACAATTTTATGTCAGTGATTATTACTAATCAATATCCATGCATTCCCCTTCCTAGTCAAATAGTTCAATTTAATTTGGATAATTAGGCTTAATAAGGTAAGAGGTCTTTGGTCAGTCCAGAATAATTCTGTCAACACACCTGCTATCACCTCATCAAACATTACCTCTAGTAAGGTAATGTGACTCTGTTGGAGTCACATTAGTAAGGTAATGTGACTCCAACAGATGGAACAGGATCAGTGAGCATTTCTAGCACATTCTCCCAAACCTGCCTTCACCTCATTTCTCCTGGAAGGCTCCCTGAGCTCTTCTTGCTTAACCCTGTCCCTCTGTGCTCCTGGCGTTTGATCCAGACTGCCTGCCTTGCCTGTTTCTTACTGTTCAGCTACCGGCATATGTGTCTCTTAGTCTATGAAGTGTGTAGAGTGGAGAATTCCTTAAACTCTTATTTAAGAAATAAGGAATAATGTGTCTTATTCTATGAAGAGTATGGAGTGCAGACTTCCTTAAAAGCCCTTTTCCTATTTTTCTCTTATTCTATTAGGAGTGTAGAGTTCCTTAAAAGCCTGTTTTTCATTGTGTTTCTTCTCCTCACCACCTCATTTTCTTTCTTCATTTTGGCATTGCTATAGATATATAATTTTGAAATTAAGAAATCAAATTTAATTTCTCAAAAACCTTATATTTGTGTTTGTGGAAGAAGGCAAAGCAAGACAGAAGGAATTCAGCAGAGAGCAGTGAGTGAACGGTGGCCACATGTTTGAGATGCTCTGAATTCGGCAGACATTCTTAGTGTATCAGGTCTGAGAACTGGAGAGGGTTTATGAAAGAGTTATTTTTGATGAACTCCGCAGAATCTGGAGGAGTTAGCTTGTGAGGAGAAGGGGAAAGAATTATTTCATGCTGCAGGTACCATGACTGCATTTGATAGGTGCTCATAAACAGATCAAGAAAGGGACCAAAAGAAAAGCTGACATACCTACAAAGCTATGTAAAAATTTTTTAATATCTGGTGTCCAAAATATCTAAATATATATTTTAAAAATATATAAAAATTTTAAATATCTAGAACTTATTAACATCTATCCCCCATACACAAACACATGAATTTAAAAAATATATGCACATCCCTGTCCATTGCAGCACCTAGTACAATATAGCCTGAATGTGGAAACAACTTAAATGTCCAAGAATGAGGTGAAAGAATAAAAAAACTGTGGTATGTATACATAATACAATACTATGACATCACAAAAAATGAAATCTCAAAGTTTTCTGCCACTTAGATAGAACTGGCAAGCATCATGTTAAGTGAAATAAGTCAAAGGAAGGACAAATACCAGATGATCCCATTCATAGATAGTACACATAGCAATATAAAAGTGAATTGACAGTATCAAACTATGACAAACCCTTAGCCTTGGATTACAAAACTGATATTTACATGTAGTATGGGGGTGGTGTAGAATAAAGATATGGACTAGAATTAAATAAGAACGGGGTGGAAGGTGTTCAACCTTTTAAAAGTGATGCAGTACATTAAGTTCTGTACATCAACCCCCCCAATAAACATTAATACTATTAGAAACATATTAAATAAAATACAATGATAAAATTAATAAATATCTGGGATCATCGAGGAAATACTGCTGATGAGATAGTCACAAATAATAAGGCAGGAAAGCTAGACTGTGTTAGACTGTGAAAACCTTGGACAACAAGGTTAAGTGTTATTCTCAGTGACGTTGGGTATTCAATAGTTCTCTGCCTCCTTTTGCTCTGAAATCTTGTAGCTTTCCATTTTAGTCATTGTTAAACAATAAAACACGTGAGAAAAAGAATGGGCAATAGCCTTTTAAGCCAAATTTATTGATTTTAATAGTTTGAAGGTGATCGGTGATATATTAGTCTACACTTAGTGAGCAATAAGTAATGAGACAAATTGGGACTAAAAAAATCACAAAAGAGTAACTTTTAGATAAGCTACAGTAAGGGAAGAGGAGAACAATTTTCTGAAATATGTGTCTGGGCACGGTGTTAGTAGCTGTATGTACAAAGCTGAATTATAGTTTGACACTTTGTTGACCAAGTTACTTCAATTTTGAAGACAGTATTTTATAGTAATTGCATTGCAGACTAAGATAGTTTAAAGAAAGTGGAAAGAGGTCAGAGAGATTGTACAGTGGGTAAGATATTTGCCTTGCATGCAGCTGACCTGGGTTCAACCTCCAGCATACCATATGGTACCCCAAGTTATGTCAAGAGAGATCTCTGAGTGTTGAGCCAGGAGTAAGTCCTGATCAACACTGGGTGTGGACCAAAATAAAATAACAACAAAAAAATAAAATGAAATGATGTACTTAAATTTTGTGAGATATTTAAAAATTGCTTTTAAAAGGTGTGAAATTTATATCTATATGTATGTATGCTTTCTTGTTAGGTCAGTGTGAACCGATTACTTTGGAACTCTGCATGAATTTGCCCTACAACTATACAAATTACCCAAATTACCTTGGTCACAGGACTCAAAATGAAGCTTCCATCAGTTGGGAGTCCTCTCTGTTCCCTGCACTTGTTCAAACCAACTGTTACAAATACCTCATGTTCTTTGCTTGCACCATTTTGGTACCAAAATGTGACATGAATACAAGCCAACGTATCCCTCCTTGCAGGTAATACAATGGGGTCTCCAGTAAGCATCTTCTTTTTTTAAAAAAAATTTAATTTTTATAAAGCTGTCACAATAATTGATTAATTCAATATTCCAGCACCAATCCTACCACCATTACACCTTCCCACCATCATATATCAAATTATCCCACCCCAATCCCCGAAGTCTGCCCCAAAAGAAGAACCTAAATAATTTACCTTGTATTGCTTGTTATAAATAATCAGCTAAAGATGATAGAAAAGAGTTTCCTTAGAAGAAAGTATGTGAAAATTGTTGTATTGTCTTGGAGCCACTAAGCCCTTTGTATAGAGTATGAGATCTTGCTCCAGGAATTCTAAGATTTTAAATAGGGTGATGCTGGAGCGATAGCACAGCGGGTAGGGCGTTCGCCTTACAAGCGGCCAACATGGCTGACCCGAGTTCGATTCCTCCGCCCCTCTCGGAGAGCCCGGCAAGCTACCGAGAGTATTGGATATGCCAGACATAGTAACAACAAAGTCTCCAATGGAGACGTTACTGGGCCCGCTTGAGCAAATCGACGATCAACGGGAGGGCCTTTACCTTTACCTTTACCTAAATAGGGTGATACAGCTAGAATTAAATTTTTAACTGGGTGGTGACTTTGGGGTCCAGAAGCATCTCTACGGCATATTGCTCTCTTCCTCTTCTGAAATTTATTTATGAGTTTCTAGATCATGGTCGTTAATGAGCTTATATGGCATCAGAAGCAGTTCGTGGGCATGACTGCCAGGCTACTGGAAGCACAGGGAGATGGAGGGAGGGGAGGTCACCCTTTACCGACTCAGTGCAAGCCTAGAGATTTCATACACAAGCCCCTCACACCTGGGTTTTTCAGCAGATTCACTCATGGATGAGGCTTAGATCAGCTGTGAGCAAGCTAGTGATTGAGTTCTGGAGGTTTTTGGCTGCTAGAGCTTGTTGGGGTAGCTAGAGGGACTCACCCATCCCCCTCCAGGTTACCCCAAATGAGATATCCTGCTGAGGGGTTCCAGTGGGCATCTCCATTTTCATCCAGGGAGAATAAAAATAGCCTGAGGGAGCTATCACACCAATCTTACAAATTGGACAGGAAATGAATGATACTGATATTTTCCTGTTTGCTTGTATAAAATACAAGACAAATTTTTAAGATGGTGGTTTGGGCTTAGGATATTAGTGATATCCAATGAATTAAGAGTACTACTTTGGTCAGGACTGGAGTGACAGTACAGTGGTTAGGGCATTTGCCTTGTATGTAGTCAATCTGGGTTCAATCCTAGCACCCCATATAGGCCCCCAAGTCACCAGGAGTGATCCGTGAACTCAGAGCCATGAGTCAGCCCTGGCCACTTCCAGGTGTCACCAAAACAGAAAACAAACAAACAAACAAAAAAGAGTACTGTTTTGGAACCTACTGATTCTAATCTTGACTCTTCCATAGCTTCAGTATAGCCTGAGATAAATTTCTTAGTTTCTTTACCTACAAAATCAGTATAGTAATTGGGTTGGGTTAGATTAATTGTAAGATTTAATAAATGCAAATCAATGAAAAATAGTTCAATGAACAATAAAATCTAAATAAACACTAGTGACAGTTTATCTCTCTTCTATGCCACATGCTAGGGTGTTAGTCAGAGAATGTGCATGTACAATGTGAAGGTCACAAATGTGGCTGCTGCTCTCCAATACTGTTTTCTATCAAGGGGTGAATACACAGATGTGCTTGTCTAAATGTCAGTGGTAACTGAAAACCATATGTGGGGGTCAGAAGTCACTATAGAGCTTTAACAAAAAGCAATAATATCAATATACTGGACAGATGGAAAAACAATAAATTGTGTACCAAATATCAGATGGATGACAACCTAGGGACATCTTTAAAGTTAGGACCGGAAATGGTAAAATTTTTAAATAATTTGGGGAAATGAATGAATTATACAAATAGATAGTGAAACAATATTGGCTTGCACCAAACTGATTCTGAAAAAATTTATTACATACCTTTTAAAGTACTGCTAACAAAATATCTATAAATTTTATGTTAAGAAGTTATTCTTACAGTTTTGGTTGAGCCAGGTTAGAATCGTAACAAGATTTTTGTACTTATTGAGACCCCAGACCCCTGACTGGACAGTACTGGTTGGTGGAAACTGTGCAGTGGAGTCCTTCTCAATCCCCAGTCACCTCTTCATTACCATGTTAAAAGTCACATCCCTGCTGATGTTTCTTCCACATTTTCATATATAAGATGCATGTATTTCCCAGCATTATGTGCCCACTGGTACCCCTCATGAATATTCATGAGTTCCTTGAATTTTCCTACTAAAATTCTATTCTATCACTCTAACTCTCCTGGTCATGAAACAAGTCCCCCATTTCTTCTTTTTCAAGCTCGTTCTATAACCTGTGATAGCTAGAAAAGTTTCTCAATGTATCTAAGATATGTCTTTGGCAGTAAAGCCTTATTTTCTGTTTAGTTGACCCTGTGATTTATTTGGGGGGATGGCATTTTCCACTAAAATTTGCACAATGTGAATATTAAATATATTTTGACGAAAACATTACACTGAAATTTCTTTTGTTGAAAGCGTGTTGCTGGAAGATACAATTTCTCTAGGGATACTCTGTTTCTGTCTCCTAAATAATGATCATATATATGTATATATGTACTTTATATACATATTATGTACGAATATTATATTTATATCCTATATAAATGTAAATACATTACATACATACATATTCATGAAGCATTAAAACCCAACATACTTTCAAAATAAACATTTCAGGCATAATTATTTCTGCTTCAAATGTTCTTTCTTACTCTTTTAGAGTGCTGTGTGAACACTCCAAAGAACGTTGTGAGTCTGTTCTTGGGATTGTGGGCCTCCAGTGGCCTGAAGACACAGATTGCAATCAGTTTCCAGAAGAAAATTCAGACAATCAAACTTGTCTAATGCCTGATGAAGATGTGGAAGGTTAATTTTTGAATTTGCTACAGAGGGAATCTAGCATGGATCTTTTTAAGTTTCTCTGTTGTTGTTTCCTAATTTTCCTGCATAAGTAAATGAATCTCTAAACTTGATTACACTGAAAATGTGGTGCTCATTTGTTAGAGATTATAGTCAATTAAAAAACAAATTGCAGAGTAGAGTTCAATATTATAAGCATTTATTTTAACCACACTTAATGTACAAAACCTATTATTACTTCTTATTATTATTACCATTGTGGTTTAGGTAATATGGTAAGAATAGTGTAAAAGATTAGGTTTTTGATATGTAATTACTGCACTGTTACTACCTCCAAAGTGCCCAAGACCCTCCATCACTGTTCATATGTCACTTCCAGTCTATCTACTCCTTTCCCCTCCTCCTCTCACTTCTTGGTAAACTGAATTTTGTATTCCAAGATCATTGGTTTGTCATTGTTCAACACTATCTATTCCTTTGTTTTCTTTCTCTTTATGTCACAGATGAGATCTGGTTTTTATCCTTCCTGTTACTTATTTAGCTTAACCTGATCCCTCTTCTTCTCTCCAAGTTGTAGCAAAGTGCATTATTTTATCCTTTCTTATTGATATGTGATATACCTTTGTGAATATATTTCCAAATTCCTTAATTCATTCATCTATTAAGGAACATATGGCCAGTTCCTATATCCTGACTATTGTAGTTAGTACTACAGTAGACCTGGTGTGCATATATGTTGTTTTATTTCTTTTTTATCAATTTATTTTGGTTCTAGAGCCATACCTGGCTGTGCACAGGATTTACACCTTGCCCTTCCTGGTGATACTCAGGGTACTATATGTGGTACCAGGGATCTAACCCAGGTCAACCACTTGACAAATCAAGCAACTTTACTTGCTATGTCATATACCCAACTTTCGAAAATATCCTTTTAAATGATTTTTTGGGTGTGTTTTGGAAGTCAATGCCAAAAAGAGGAATTGTAGCACCGTATGGAAGCTCTGTTGTTAACTTTTTTTGGGAATCTCCAGACTGTTTTCCAAAGGTGCTGATAAGCATTTCCATCAATAGTGAATGAGGGTCCCTTTTTTCATCACATCCCCATAAACACTGTTTTTTTTTCCAGTTTTTTGTTTGTATATGTGTGTGTATGTGTGTGTTTGTGTTGTTTTCACTGCTGACATATCTGATTTGTCATTTTGATTTCAATTTCCCTTTTTATAAGAGACAATGAACACTCTTCATAAGCCTACTGGTCAGTCGTAATCCTTTTTATGGAAGAGCTTGTTCTTCTTTCTCCATTTTTTGATGGAACTATAAGATTTTGTTGTTGTTGTTGAAACAAAATCTATTTTGTATAGATGCTATTTTTTCACTCTGTGTCCTGAAGGTAATGGTGACTATCAACATTAGTTTCTTCAAGTGAAAGATATTTGGAGATATTGACAACATCAGTCCATCAGGTAGAGAGGAATGGTATCAGAAACCCACCTACCAGGTGAAAAGATAATGACTAGAAACATTTTGACATAGTGGGGGCAACTAGGTTGTCGACTCCACATGGCATTTCAGGTTCCAGAAACTGTACAGTAAGTTTTCTCATTGGAAAGATAATAAATTACTGGAAAGCATAAAGAAACTAAGCGATTCATCTAGAGAGATAAGACTGTTAATGCAGAAAATACTACAAGTAGACAGGGGAAAGCCAAATTAACTTTCTTCTTTGTTTCTTCTTTGTGGAAATTTATTCTTAATTAATAGTTCTTCTATAACATATGATATTTTTTTTAAATTTTATTGAATCACCGTGAGATAGTTACAAACTTTCATGTTTGGATTACAACCACACAATGGTTGTAACACCCATCCCTCCACCAGTACACATTCTCCACCACCAATATCCTCGGTGTACCCCCCCCTTTCCCACCCTCCCACTGAATCCATGGCAGGCATGATTCTCCATAATCTCTCTCTACTTTTGAGCATTATGGTTTGCAATACAGACCCTGACAGGTTATCATGTTTGGTCCTTTATTTACTTTCTGCACATATCTCCCATACCGACCGATTCCTCCAGTCATCTTTTTCTTAGTGATCCCTTCTCTATTCCAGCTGCCTTCTCCCCTTTGCTCATGAGGCAGGCTTCAAGCTATGGAGCGCTCCATCTGTCCCGTGTATCTACTGTCTTTAGGTGTCAGCCTCATATTATTTTGTTTTATGCTCCACAAATGAGTGCAGTCCTTCTATGTCTGTCCTCTCTTCCTGACTCATTTCACTTAGCATAATACTCTCCATGTCTATCCATTTATAAGCAAAGTTTATGACTTCATCTCTCCTGACAGCTGCATAGTATTCCATTGTGTAGATGTACCAAAGTTTCTTTAACCAGTCATCTGTTGTAGGGCACTTGGGTTGTTTCCAGATTTTGGCTATTGTGAACAGTGCTGCAATGAACATGCAGGTACAGATGCTTTTTTGCATCCTAGAGATATATTGCCAGAAGTGGTATTGCGGCATCATATGGAAGCTCAATTTCTAGTTTTTGAAGGACCGTCCATATTGTTTATGATATCTAAATAATGAATTAGTCAATGGTTCTGAGTTTTCTGTTGATAATAACATGGCTCATTGTTTCCTAACAGAATGCTCACCTAGTCATTTCAAGTGCAGATCAGGACGGTGCGTTCTGGCTTCCAGAAGATGTGATGGCCAGGCTGATTGTGATGATGACAGTGATGAAGAAAACTGTGGTAATTACACGCAATAGCAATTTTATTAAATGTACAGTTAATTCAATACAACTTAGGTTGCGGGCCATATTGACCAATGCCAACATTTCACTGATAGTCATTAAGTAGTGAAGAGGACCGAATGTTAGTAACGTGTTTTCTTTTTGAATTATCAAAGCCCAAAGCAGAAATTCTTAAGTTCTTTTCCTCTTGAAGACATTGTCACAAAAAAATCACAAATCACAAATCATCCTGTTATTCGTCAATTGCCTCGAGCAGGCCCCAGTAACGTCTCCTTCATCCTAGCCCTGAGATTATATTCAAGGCTCTTTAGGAGAAACTTCACCGATTCACCGATAGCACAGCGGTAGGGCATTTGCCTTGCACGCAGCCAACATGGCCGACCCGAGTTCGAAGACATTGTATAACAAGCAAATACCAAATTCTTCAACCCTATTGACTGATTATAAATTACTCTTATGTTGAGTCTTGTATATATACATATATATACATATATATACATATACGTGTATATATACACACATATATAAATTTCTGTGTATATATGTATGTATACATGTATATACATTCTGAGTAAAAGAACAATTCATGAATGTGAGTAACTATTTTTATTTTTTTGAGACTATAAAACAGTTGTCTTTGCATATGATTTCCATGTTAAATAGTCATCTATTTAGATACATAAAGACAGAGTTCAGGCTCCCAAGTTAAATTTTAATTGAAATTCATTTTCATGCCTTACATCATTTTGTTTCTGTTGGCAAAGGATAAAATTCTTTCTGACATTTCTGCCTTTAGCTCCAAAATCACCAATGGCAAGAAATGCAATGGTAATTTAAGTGGAGCTAATTCCTATTTTATTCCTTTTATTCCTTTCAAGCCTTTATGTTTGTTACTTCGAAAATGTGTCAAGGACCAGTAGAAGGACAATATCCATTACTAAACAATATTCTGGAGAAAAACAGGATGAATGAAGGACTAGCCAAAGAATAGTTGGTTATTCTTATGGATTGTTTTCATTTAAAAATATATTTATATACATGCTTTAACTGGATCACATAAGACAATATGTCTTTTGAAATCATCTTATTATTTTAACCTTTGAGGTATGAAAGATTGCTTTGCTACCCAAAATGAATTTTCCATAGTAGACATTGCCCTTATGGTCTACACAAAATGTCACAGACAATCTACTGAAATCTTATCAACTGCTATAAATATAGACAAGTGCATGTTCTAGAAAATTAGAACTGTCAGAATGATGGTACAATGACTGGGGTAATTTTGTTATGGTGTAATATACAGTGTTCTAAGAAGCTATTAGATGTTTGTGTGTTTGTGGTTTTTTAGATAAAGAAATAAGTCAAAACTCATTGAATATCCATTATATAAGTGATTTACTTAAGAGCTGTTAGATTTGTTCAGTAGGCTCTGACTTTATGGGTTATGGTATTCTGGGATGCAATTTAAAATAGATTTCCTTCAATAGTTCAAAGAGGTTACACTGAACTCAGTTGCAAACAAAACTTTCCTGTAAAAAACTGAATAGTTGAGAAACGTAAAAGCTTAATTTAGTAAAGAAGCTTCCCTAGACTAAAAGTTGCAGGTACTAGAATATATTCTTAAGGGGGAAAAAAGACATTTAAAGCACTATAGAGTTTTAAATGATAGATTGCTAGTTAAATAATGAGTTTTCTTCAATATTTTAATCACACAATTAAAGATACAGAGAAACAATGGAATACATGTCTGATCTCTATAAAACTCTCAAAATATTGTTCACATTATTAAAAGATCTAATTAAGATATGTGAAGGGTTGGTAAGAAATGAACACATTGGAGTTACACTAATTGCTCCATCAGTATTAAGTTCTGAGAACATCCTCATTAAATTTTCTTGTCATAGAAGATTTAAATTATACAGGTATTCCCCCTTTGAATGAATGCATTTATTGGAATGGGTCTGTCTGAAGCTTTGAGAACTCATCCCCATCTAAAATCAAATAACAAAATCACATTCAAAAACAAACTGTTAGGAAATCATCTAGCTTTCATTTTGCTGAATTGCTCAATTTGTCTCTTTGTTCTGTGAGTGTTCGTGGGCATGCATACAACATATTAAGGCAAACCACAGCTCTAGTGATGCTGAGTTACACAACAAGTTTTAAGTCCTTCTGATTTACTCTGTCTATTGTGAGCTTGATGGTACTTATGTGCTTGGGCTTCACTGGATAAAGTGACAATGAAATATTCGTTCACCTGCAGCTCTTTCAGAACTTCTAGAAATATTATTTGGTTCACCCCTTAAAAATTCTTATTCACTTTAGTCATAAAGTAATTGATATGCTGAAAACTTTATATTTTTAATTGCCCCACTGCAGCAGAAAAACGATGGTATGACATCCAAAGCACACTTTTTAAACCTATGTGTTAGAGTTTAGCAATGAACTATATCCTGAATTATCTCCTGTGGCAAATGTTTGTTATTGAGGTTGTATTAATGGTATAATTGCTTATGTAAGCAACAGCTGGAAACATTGAAAGCATTGAAAATGTTTTAGCAAGTACATGGGAAAATTATACAAATCTGAATATTATCATTCCAGAATGGCTTCAAGGAGGGACGCCTAAAATATGGGAGTGATTTCTAGAATCCACACTGTATCAACATAGAAGCACTGCGGTGTCTTGAGGGTTGGTGATCTGTCATGAATTGAACATATGCTGACTCTATAAGACTAAAACTTGATGAAATGAGATTATATTTTAGCAATTCCTTCCCAAGCATTGATATCCAAGCAATGAAATGCCGTGGGTGGTGGGGAATAGGTCGGATGGCGGGCAGGGAAGAGATCAGGGCAAAGAAATAATCGAGAACAATAAAAAGAAAGGAGAGCTAAGGAAAATAAGAAGGCTGTATTTCTGAGCTGTCCTTCACACTATAGATTTGAATCTCAGTCTGATGTTAGCTCAACCTCTGTCCATGCTGTGAGTTAACTGCTGGGCATAGGTGATTCCTGGGCTGTAGAGTAAGCCCAGGTCTCCTCACTGGGGCTGTTAAACAAGAAATAGCTAATACGGTGTCTTTGTATTTATAAATATTTTTTGGTTTTGGAGTCATACCTGGCAGTGTTTAGGACTTACTCTTGACTGTTCAGTGATCACTGTATCGGTTCCAGGGATCAAACCAGGGTTAGCTGCATTCAGAGAAAATGCCTTAACCTTTGCAGTATCACTCCAAGAGTGTCCTTTAATTACTGTAGAAATGAGATCGATATTACATAAAGATGGCATCACAATTCTGATTTATCATCATTTTATATGAAAGTATAGACATCTTATGGAGAAAGACTGAGAATACCAGTGTCCTATTCATTAAGTGCCTGTCTGTTTAAATAATTGTGAATTGTTTTCTCCTCTTAAGGACAAATTAAAAAAAAAAACCTTTCAAATATGAATTGAATCTTTGCCTCTTTAAACTTTTTAAAACCTTGTCTGTAATATTTGTGGGTCTACAGCTTGAACTTAAATTTTTAAATTTTTTAATGGATTGAGATTATGTGGTTTACAATATTATTAATAATGGCTTCTAGTGCATCTAACTCCTACACCACACCTTACTCTCCCAAAGGCCCCAAAGCCCCTTCATCTCAACACTCCCTCACCCCCGACTCAATTGTAGGGATCAATTGTCTCATTATGTTGCCCTTAGACTTCAGTTTTCTGCACTTCCCCACTCCCCTCCATCTCTTCTGTTTGATCTCCTTAAAAGTATTGGTATATCTTCTCAAATAGAACTTGATTGACTTTAAAAAAAATACTCAAAATAGTAACTCTAAGCCCTCATGTCTCTTAGGATAGGAAAAAGACCGCATACTTTGCTCTGTGACTCACTGAGAATAATGAGACTTATTGTGTCCAATCATGTGGTATGCCCACCATGCAATTTCAATCTGCAGTTTGGGGAATGATCTTTGATCCTTCCTGGAAGTAATTATTATTTACCATATTTAGGGAGATATTTTCTTTTTTGGTTTTGGTGGGTCCTTTGGAAAGGGGGTCACACCTGGCAGTAATCAGGACTCTGCTCTCTGAGATCACTCCTGTTGAGCTTGGGGGGACCATATGTGGTGCTGAGATCCAAACTTGGGATACTGTGTGCAAGGAAAGTGCCCTATCCACTATACTATCACTCTGGCCCCTCCTTTTGACATTTTACTACTTGGTCATCTGCTTTGCTACCTAGTTTGTGTCTTTGGGCAGGCAGTGTGGAATATTCTTTAATGTTCTGTGTAGGTATAATCTTAGACTCAAATTCAATTCAGCAATTATAGGTTGTGTGACTTTTTTGACCAGTCACTTCACTTCATGAGGCCTGATTTTCCTTTCATGTAAAATATAGAGAACTCTTTCTTCTAACCACCACAGCTTAGAGCATGCCTCAGTTAGTTCTTATAGAAGACAATAATCAAAAACCCAGTGCTAAGAAATCCAGGAAGCGATTTCCTAGAAAGTTCACTCCAGGGATATCCTTTGAGCAAAGGAGTTCTGTCTGGCTTGGAAACAGCTGTGACAGATGGAGATCTTGCAAATAGTCAAGAAGAGCAGGCCGACAGGTCTTGTCCAAGTCATAGACTGGGCTAAGTCCCTGTTCTCACAGCAAAACATAGAACTCTCCTTCCAAAAGTAGGGCTTGTTTTGTTTGGGCCAGATGTCTTTATCTCCAGGGTTTCAGTCTTTGAGGGACCCCACTTTGCTGTCGAGAGTCCCTTTCATTTCTTCATTTTGCTCTAAAATTTGAGGACAGGAGCATACACTGTAAAGGGAGAGGTAATTCAGAATTAGGAGAACAGTTGAGACATTATAGCAGAAGTGAAGAGCAATTGGACTAGTCTTGGTATTGCTGGCCCTAAAGCAGCTGGGGCATAGCCTTTAATGGCTGCTCTTGGATATTGGAGCTCCATGGCTTGATTTACACACTCTATAAGGGGTTAATGCTTTTATACCTATAGACTTCGATGTTACCATTACAACTTCTATGATATGCCCTCTGGGCACATCCTCAGCCACTTTCTGAGGCAGATGCTGGATGAGACAATCCAGACTGTTCAGTCTTTGTCAGCCCCAGGACCAGAATCTTCTGCCCACCTTCCTGTGGTGACCAGCTCCTCCCTGAAAATTGTTTTTCCTGCAAGCAGCTAAAGTAAACAGACCTAACGATCAGACCCGCAGGCTCTATATTCTTGTACCTATGAAAGTCTTACCAAACAGAAACTATAAGGGGCCATAAAGTGATCTATTCTCCTAGATTTTAATAGCTGTTTTTTGGGCAACAAGAGAGGTGCTCTTGTTCAGGTAGAACTGGCCTCTGGCAGGGAAGATGGCTTCACAGGATTTGGGGGAAGTTAGAATCAGAATGAGCAAGGAAACTGGAAGAATGCTTAGCGAACTTTTAGTGAAGTGATATCCTGACTTGCCCTGGACTGTGAGGGATTCCCTGAATGACAGGTGCTTAATTTCCAAATCAATAAAGTCCTTGGAAAACCAGAATGAATTTATTTACCAAATCTCTGTACATTCCATGGGCAGGTCACTCCATGCCTGGTGGTTTTTTGACATAATTTAATTTCATAACCTACAACTTCTTTAAACAGTCCATCTCATTCATACCTATCTTTAATTTTTACTGGTGTCAAACCCTTATTCATTTAAATGTAAGTATTTTTATTGACTTACACTGGATTATAGCACTGTAAAATTGTGTGTGTGTGTGTGTGTGTGCATGCACACGTGCACAATTCAATCTGCCTGTAATTTCTATCATCCCCACCATGAAAGTACTAGTTCTCACCACAAAAAACGCTCCTCTAACTAGTCCATCTGCTTTCTTCATTTCCCTCAAGGAATCACCATCATTTGTTGGTTTCTGCCAGCTTTTTTCCCCCTGGCCTTAGTAATTCATATTCCACATATGAGTAAAATTATCTCATAATTTTCTTTTACTTTTTGATTATCTCATAATTTTCTTTTACTTTCTGATTGATTTCATTTAGCCGAAATACGTCACTACCCATCCATGTTGTCCCAAAAGGCATGATTTCATCTTTCTTAATAGTAGAGTAGACATACCCTTTCTCTTCTAGAACATACGTTATATACATAATTATACCCACCATGTCTCTTAAAGAAAGAATAATTTCTTTATAAAATAATAATTCTTTCATATGATTAATATCTTGACCTTTTTTATTTTATGTATTTTTATACTCATCATAACTCCACCAAAAAGTTATCAGACTATGAAAGCTTTAATGAGAAAAGAATAGATACAGAAGAATAAATCAATGCTTGTAGAAGACTCATTTAATCCTTACAACAATCCATGCTAGCAGAAACTGTTAGTACTATTTTGTAAATTATTAAATTGAGGTTTAGAAAACTTAAGTAACTTATTGTAGGTCTAATGACTAATGAAATAGAAAGTAGCTTTCATTGCAGGTATTTGGCACTAAATTATGCTTCTTTTACTCCCACCGCTTATGCATCCTGCATACTCTCATCTTACAGAGCGCTTAGTGAATGAGTTTTATTACCAAAGGCTGGCACCTGGACTCCAACTGGGATTTTCTCTATAAGATTGTTTCATCTGTCACAGGCAACCATTTGTTATGTTCTCTAAATCTACTGTGTCACTTATAGAATGGTGGTTCTAATACTGACATTGTATTGCTATTGTAAAAATTAAATCTAATATTTAGAAGGTGGCACAATAGTGGGAAATAAATGTTATGTTATTATTATAATTACTATTTATGGAAAAGCAGGATTTATGTCTCAGAAAATCTTCTTGTGTAGTCTTTCATCAACTCATATGAACTGTCAAGGTTTTTGTCCGCTCATAGAAAGGGTTCCTTTGATTCAGACAGGCATGCTGTGTTTGCTCTTGTTCTGTTAGCAAGTTTTGGGGTTGATGAGAGGAGATGCATCCCCCAGAGCTGGATGGCACAACAGGACACTGAGACCTCTTGATTTCCCCAGCTCCCTGATGGAATGAGCAGATTATGTCATTTGACAAAACCTGAATTCTGGCATGTTTTAGCTGACATGAGAAATGGACTGCATTGGTTCCAGCTCTTCTTATATCTCGAGGGAACTCTGGGACTCTCATTGTCAGAAAATTCCAGATGATGTCTGTATCCTCTTCTAGGGAATAACTCCAGATATCTCCCTGAGTTCTCAGAAAAGATCTTTCTGGGCTAAAATCTTCCGTTTTTTTTAGTTAATGAATGATGTCACTATTTATTTCTTATATTTTAGAATGATAAAACTTCAAGTCCAATTTACGAGATAGTACAAATTTCTCTTCTGATGGCTTATTTTGATAATGTTTTCAATGACAATTTTGAAAAAGAGCAGACCTTTTCTTATAATGAATTCCAAGAAACCCAAGTCCAATAATCGTCAAAACTTCTCTGAATTATCTGTACTAGGTCAGATAATTCCCTGAATTATCTGTTCCAGGTCAGATGGAAAATAGCATTTTAAGCTATTTTATTTGAGCACCACTTCGCATTTCACTTACAGTCTTTTTCTGGGAACAAGTGACATTTTGGTTATGAGAAACAAAGTTCTACTTAAAAGGCAGGTGTGTTGAGAACTTTCAGAGTGCTAGTTGCTGTTTTAGGCAGGATTAAGGTCTGGAGGAAAATACTTAGTAGTAAAAGCCATGTGACTTTTTTTCTTCATATACTCACAGCCTTTGAGGACCATGGATCCAACTGGAGTGATGATAACACATTTGACTCTTGGTGTTTCAGCTGACATGAGAAATTGACTGTATTGGATCCAAATGGCATTGGATCTATCATTGCAGCTATTTGAGATTTTATAGGCAATTTGTGTTCAAACTTATAATTTTTTTCTTTGCTTTTTGGGTCACACCTAGGGATGCTCTGGGGTTACTCCTGGCTTTGCATTCAGGAATTACTCCTGGTGGTGCTGGGGGACCATATGGGATGCTGGGAATCGAACCCAGGTTGGCCGCATGCAAGGCAAACACTGTACCCACTGTGCTATTGCTCCAGCCCCAAACTTATAATCTTGATGTTGTATTAGTTATGTTCATTTATCATATTAATTATAAAATGTCTTACCTTTAAATCTCTGACTATATTACCAATGTAAAGGATTTCATACCTGGCTCTTAAGCTATTTTGTAGGTATTTGGCATAGAAAAGCTTCTTTTGCTAAACATACAGATGGTCTCGCCATTTGTTGATGGCAATTACATGTAAAGTAATATGAATTTAGATCCCTGGGTTTGGCATATTTGTTTAAAAGTACAACTCATCATTTTATAGATGAGTCTTATGTGTTGCAAATTGATTCAGAAAGCAAAAGGAACAGCTGAAGATGAACATTAATGTGTACTTGCTTTTTCATTTTTTTAATTTCCCATATGTCACTTTTAATCTTCTCTTAGGAAAGCCATGCTACTTGTCTTGCAATATGGAGATTATTGAGAATTTCTACTTTAGAAATTACATTTTTATGGGATATTGGAAAGAAAACTTTTTAAGGAGAAACAAAACATTCCTTTATATTGAAATTTTTCTCCATACCTTGATCAAATTCATCAATTATTTTTGTCTCCACATCTAATGCCAGTAAGATTTTTTTTCCAGGATGTAAAGAGAGAGATCTTTGGGAATGTCCATCCAATAAACAGTGTTTGAAGCACACAGTCATCTGTGATGGGTTCCCAGACTGCCCTGATAATATGGATGAAAAAAACTGTTGTAAGTACTTACGTGAATTGGTTAACAGGGAATTTTTATTTTAAGCACTTATGTCTTCTTTTACATAATCCAAAAACTTAAAAATAGTGTCAAAAGATCTTCATATATTCATAGATTTTGAACAAAACTCTACTTGTATGACAAATGGGACAGGAGATAGTACAATAGTTAGGATGTATGTCTAGCTAAGAAAACAATTGTATTTGTGTAAAATATGCTGGAGCGATAGCACAGCGGTAGGGCGTTTGCCTTGCACGCAGCCAACATGGCCGACCCGAGTTCGATTCCTCCGCCCCTCTCGGAGAGCCCGGCAAGCTACCGAGAGTATCTCGCCCACACGGCAGAGCCTGGCAAGCTCCCCGTGACGTATTCGATATGCCAAACACAGTAACAACAAAGTCTCCAATGGAGACGTTACTGGGCCCGCTTGAGCAAATCGATGAACAACGGGAGGGCCTTTACCTTTACTTTTACCTTATACATACTATACAATTTGATTATTGTTTATAAATTGGATAACATTTTAGACACTCCAAATAATCCTAAATAGAGAGCATAATAAAATATAATCATAAATTAAATATGAAAATATTAAAAATAAAATTAGGAGTAATTTTCCTTAATTTATTATTATAATTAGTGATATAATATAAAATGTAAAGTATATGTATGTTATTTACCTTGAAAATTATCAGAAGATTATAATAAAAATAAAAAGAATAGTTTCTGGGTGATGGGATTATTAAATGTGCTTCTCTAACTTTTTAATATTTTCTAGAAGAAGAGCCAGTAGTTTCAATAAGAACAAGTGAAACTACTTATGTGTGCTGCCCAGTTCTATCTTATATACTAATAACAGAAAACTCAAATCAAAGTGCCCAAAGCAATGATGATACTTATCATTGTTATTTGGCTTTTTTTACTATCCCCAATTACTATCCCCAAAAATCTCAAGCTTTTCTCCTGGCTCTCTGCTCAGGGATCACTCCTGGCAGAGCTTGGCTGTATTATTATTAAGTCACAATAAGAAATTAAGTATTAGCACACAGGTGAATTAAGACATGCCTTCTGAAATGCCACTGACTTACACTTTATTATCATTATTATGTTTGTTTGGCTTTTTGGTTTGTTTTGGGGTCACTCTGAGAAGAGCTCAAGGCTCATTCCTGGCTTACCTCAGGGATCACTCCTGGAGGTGCTGGGTACTATATGTGATGCTGTTGATTAAATTAGTATCAGATGCATGTAAAATAAGCAAGTAACCATAATATTTCCTCTATGGGACCACATTTGTTATTGTTAATTGTCATCTTGGTTGTATATAACTTGTCATGAAAAGTGTGGAAAGGATTCCTAAGACTGGATGTAAATTTATCAACTCTTCCACAGTTCTCTGTTTGGCTTGGCCCTGAGCTGGCTTCCACTTAGTCCAAAAATAGTTTTGAAAAGCACCTGGGACACCATGATCCCTTGATTATATTCAATGGGAAGAAGTTGGTCCTCATCTCTGGAATATCAATTAGGGATTCACTCAAATTGGCTGGCTCAGGTCAGGTCCAGTTTTATAGTCAGGAGTGTTTGAATATTAGGATGGATTGGAAAAGACCTCATGAAAACAGCTGAGCTGTGAAGAGAAACATCCCTAGAAAAATCAATTAGAAAAGGATGTGATTACCCGCAAGCCACCTTTTCCCCCAGTAGGGTTTGGTTTGGCAGGAAGGATCTTACAAAGCCCAGCCTGCAAAACCAGATGTCAAGACTGTGATCTTGCACCACTTGTTTTCTCCTATGTTAATAATGTGCCCGGTAAAGAAATCAGATGGTTAAAAACAAAAATTCATATCCTATTTAAATGAATCCAGATCTTCCTCTGAAACTGGAGCTGTGCAGTGTGGATCAGGTGCATTAGACAAAATCAGGTTCCTAAAAAAAAAAAAGGAAAAGGAAAAGGAGGGGAAAAAAGAAACAGACACCAGATAGGTAATTAAGGAGTTCCAATGTGATTTTTGAAAGTCCAAGAAAGAATTACCATGTGACTAAGCCATTTAATAGTAGTATATTTAATAATAGTATATTTTTCAGTCATAAACTATTCCAATACCCTTCCCTTCATCATTTCCCACACCCAATGGGGAGTTTCCGACCCCCCAGCTGCTTCTTCAGCTGCTTCTTTGGCAGTCAGGCATGTTTCTTCTCTCTCTCTCTCTCTCTCTCTCTCTCTCTCTCAGCTTTTAGGCATCATGGTTTGTAATACAGACACTGAGACCTGAAACATTATCAAGTATCCCTTTACCTTTTTTCAGCACACAATTCTTGTCCAGAGTGATCATTCCCAATCATTCTATGAATAACTTTATCTGTCCTTCCCCGTGCTCTGCTCATGCCACTTCAGATTTTCACACCACACCACACCACACACACACAGACACACACACACACACACACACACACATACACACACACACACACCACATCCATATTACTGTTGCTCTGGATGCCACTTTTTCAAACCTGTTGTTAGAACTAGGACCAAATCATGTGGCAATCATAGTTTCCATTCAATGTTTGTAATTCATATGAATGAGCTTCTATAAAACAAGATTTTACCTTCTGTGACTCATCTACACACAGGTTTGAGGGCCTCAGTGACAATATCCTTTCATGATTCTGCTGTTTAAAAATAGTGTACACATTCCTTCTAATAAATTATTTCTAAAAAGTTCCTGTCCTCTCACTTCCTGTTCCCTGTGCCAGCATTTTGCCAGGATGACGAACTAGAATGCGCAAACCATGAGTGTGTGTCACATGACCGGTGGTGTGATGGCCAAGCGGACTGCATGGATAGTTCAGATGAATGGGATTGCGGTGAGTGGCGTGTTTCTGCCATCTGCTCTCTTCTCCAGGCCCATCCGCCACTTCAGTTAAATGAATCCCAAATGATTTCACGGAATTTTACTAACCAAGGCCTTCTCTTTTGCTTTACTTCTTACAAGTTGACAGTGATGACTCATATAGGTTATTTTCAATTCATAGAATAACCTTCCCAACCTACTTCTGCATTTGAAATGTCTCTTTTATATATAAAATTTTGGGTTCAAATAGCTGTTATCATAATAACTGCTATTATAGTATTTAGAACTATTATCGTCCATTTCCCACAATTATCAATATTCTCTCATTTTTATATCATTGACACCTACTGAAACAGGATGTTATCAATCTTTCCTGCTTTTATTTTCTTTTCTTTCATTAGTTTGTGTATTGATCATGTCCTTTTATTTTGTTTTCTGATGTTTGTATATCTGGGGATTTACTGACTTTAGAGAGACTGCTCTTCTGAGATACTCTCTCCAGGATATTGCAATTTCTTGAGATACAAAGCCTTTTATCTGCAAATCAACTAATACAAAGCTTTACCCACAGGCAACCTTCTTTATGTGCTCTTATCTTTCTAACTTTTCTATACTTTTCACTCCAGATGCAAAAGGGATTTGCAACTCTCCATTGCCTTTCCCATAGAAAACTTATTAAGCCCTTTCTCACCAGTACTGGAGTGTTACAGTTTAGTATTTAAATTTGACTCGTTTTATCCTCTCACTATTCATCATCACTGTTTCCATTCTCTGGATGCTTATTTTAAGCTTTATCACTCTTATAATAATTTTAAGTATATCATATATTTTAAGTATCAGCAGACCAATCATGATTATTGTGTATGTTGTAATCGGTTGCCTCGTGTTTTAAAAAATGCTCTGTGACTGATAAAGTACAGAGAATGCTCTTTTATAAGATAAGAATTAGTGCACAGACTAAATTGATATAACTACCACACACTTATATTCTGTATATGCTTTCTTGTAAAGGAAAGGTATGGCAAAATTATGCTAGGTTCTTATCATTACCCAGATCACTTTAGTCATCTCAGGAAATGGGGCAGTCTCTAGCCAGCTTTTCCTAGTAAGGAAACTTAAAAACTGCCTCTTTCCTTAAAGCCTACAGTTCTTGGAGAGCAGAGACCATTTCTAATTTATTTATTAGTTTAGTCTTCTGCCTCACTGAAGAGCAGTGCATGGGGGAGGTACTCATGAAATGACTTAACTAAAATAGCTAAAATTAAGTGTATGCAAGGGAAGCCAAGTTGTATAAAATTATTATTTGGCTTCAGCAGATAAAATGCTTTGAATTAAGATCTTTTCTTTTTTCTTTCTCAGTGACCCTCTCTAAAAATGTCAACTCCTCATCATTGCTGATCGCTCACAGATCTGCCCTGGAATACCACGTGTGTGCAGATGGCTGGCAGGAGACACTGAGTCAGCTGGCCTGCAAGCAGATGGGTTTAGGGTAAGGTCAGTAGTTTGTAGTGCAGATGAATTTCAGGGGGCTTCCCAGAACTTAGCAGTTCTATGGTATTGGTGAATGGAAAGTGAGTTACTGTTCTCAAACACAACCTCCAATGCCCAGAAAGTGAGTCAGGTGAAAGGACAGTGCTTAATTTACAGCCACCTGCTCTGAAGAGGGTGTTTTTGGAACCGGACATTGACAAAGCCTCTGAGAGTCAATGAAGTCACTGTGTTTGAAGGACTTGTGGAATGAACTGCTTTTGTTATTTATAAAGGTAGCAAGATGGTTTCTATTGAGAAACCTAGACTGGAAAATCTGACTATTCTCCCTACTTCCCCGGGAGATGTTTGAAAACTCCTTCCTTAGGAAATGCACATTTGAAAGAAAATAAATTGAGAAATAGAAAGAGAAGTTGCTTCACAATGAAACTGAATAGTGTTTCGATTTCTCTTCAGTCATTTAGGAAATGTATACCAAGAAATAGTTCACAAATTTTGCTTCTTCATAGACTGAAAAGATACTGAAAATAGATACTTTGAAAGTTGGATAAAGCTCTTTTCGGGTGGGGGGAGGGTTCTTTCACAGTTCTATTTGGAAAGCAAAAATTAATGGACTTAGAATATATATGTGTGCATGTGTATATTTACATATTCTTTCTTTCATTACTATGCATGTGAGATTTGGGGAAATCAAGAAATAACAGATAAGGTAGTAATAAAATTCTATAATAAAAAAATCAAGTTCATGTGACATCCCAGAATTCTACAGGGCAAACTTTTCATAATAATTGTATAATAAGCCATCCAATTTCAGAATAGTTAGTTGCTATTTTTTATCATAATTTGAAGAATTATGTTAATCCTAGTAACTTCAACTCATTTCCCCCTCTAAAGACCCACATATTTAGAAAATTGAGTGATGCAATCTATAATAAGGGAACTCAAAACTTTTCCTGAGTGGAAAAATTATATTTACCATGATCCATTAAATTATATTTAATTTTCCAAATTTCCTCATTGTGCCTAAGTGAAAAGGGATATGATTGTGATCAGAAAGAAAATAAAAGCCTTTTAATATGATTTATGTTCCCTTTACCAATGTGCAAGGTTATTTCTTAATATGAATACTTGATTAAATAGTAACATAATTGTATTACAAGTTCTAGGGGGGAAAGTCTGAACTGCAATGATTTTACAACCAAAATCCTTTTAAGAAGCCACCCTGTTTGGCTGCAAATTGAAGAAATCTTATTTTTCAAAATATTCTTGTTTTTTTTCCCAATTCTTTGTATACTAGAGTAGAAATTTTATTATGGCAAAAATATTCATAGCACTGAACTCATCTTTTAGCCATTTCTTGAAGTGCAATTCAGGATCATAGTGATAGTACAGTAGGTAGAGTGCTTGCCTTGTACACTATCTACCTAGTTTTGTTCATCAGGCTCCAGTAAGTTCCCCCAAGTATAGCCAGGAGATCATGACCAGGTGTGGCTCAAAAATAGAAAAGAAGGAAAGAAAAAAGGAGGAAGGAAGGAAGGAAGGAGGGAGGGAGGGAGGGAGGGAAGGAGGGAGGGAGGAAGGAAAGGAGGAGGGAAGGAAGGAAGGGAGGAAAGAATGAATGAAAGAGGAAGGAAAGGGAAGGAGGGATGAAGAGAGGGAGGAGGGAAGGAAGGAAAGAAGAAATGAAAGGGAAGAGAGGGGGGAGGAAGAGAGGGAGGAAAGAAGGAAGGAAAAGGAAAGAAAGAAGGAAGGAAGGAAGGAAGGAAAGAAGGAAGGAAAGAAGGAAGAAGGAAATAATAAAAATAAGTATATGAAAAGTGGCATTTTATATATTCAGAAGACTATGCAACCATTACCATTATCCAACATTTTTAATTTAGCATGTTTTCATTCATATATATGCTAATACTTCATTTCTGTTTGTGACTAAATAATATTCCCTTGCAAGTGTATAGCACATTTTAAAGATCTATTCATCCATTCACAGATAGTGTTTTTGTTTTGCTATGTGCGTACTGTGTTTTTTTTAAAAAAATCCTTTAGCTCAATTTTCTTAATATAATGGGGACAAGTCATTTTAATACTAAATATATTTTTAGAAATTAAAACTCTAAGTGGACATTTTCCCCTTACCTTTTTTTTGAAAGTGTTTTATTATAATTTAGTCAATAAGCTTTCAATGTTGTTTAAGTCTATCATCACCGCATGAGCCTGTAACCAAAGGGTCTTCTATGCCTGTCCTATGTGACCTCTGGTTCAACCATCCTGTATCTTTCAACATCACTATTACCTCATTATTTGTTCATTGACAGTTATGGTTTGATGCATACTGTTAATTCCCTTAGCACCACCCACATGTTCTGACCCTCAAACTAAGGATCATGTTCTGACCCTTAAACTCCCATGTTACTTCCAGCCTACCTAATCCCCATCCCATTCCCAAACCTGATACTCTCAAGTCTATAACCCAGTGTAAATGGACGTATTTTAAAGATAACCGTTATTTCATATGTGGGTAGGAAAATCAGAGAGAATAATAGAATGGGACTGGAGAACCATAACTTTACTTGTTTTAATTTATGACAAGAGATGATGAGATAAAAGACCAATGTGATACCTCACACTATCTGTATTGTAAACCATAATACCCATAAGTAGAGAGAGAGTAAGAGGGAAAATGTCTACCATAGGGGGAGGGGAGGTGAGAAGGGGCCAGGTAGGGATTCTAAGGACATTGATGGTGGAAAATGTACACTGGTGAAAGAAAGGGTGTTCGATCATTGTTTGACTGAAACTCAAACATGAAAGTTTTGTAACTGTAGTTCATGGTGATTCAATTATATATATGTGTATATATATGTATGCATATATATTCAAAGATGTAAAGATAAAGGTTAAAAAATCAAAGACACGAGTAAGAAAGACAGTACTTTTGTACCTTTTGATTGCACGCAAATTTGATGCTTCAGTTTTAAGTGTGTGAGTCACGAATTGGTAAGATTCTGGAGAGTCAGACTGGGGGTCATTGGTAAGATGAGGATAGATTCCTGAGAAGGAATGGACTGCTTAAGAAGCTATATTGGAGGCTAGCAGACAGGGTTGGAATGCATGCTTTGGATGCTAGAGATTGGGTGGATCCCTGGCTCAACATGGTCCCCCAGCACTGCCTGAGTAACTCCTGTGTACTGCCAGGTGTGGCAAAACAAAAAATAAAATAAAACAAGCTGTTCTGTACTACTGTTGCAGGAGACCACCTACTCTGATGCAAAAGCACAGTTCTACTTGTAATGATGCTAATAAATTCTAAGTAACCCTAAATCTTCAAGCAATTTTTCTGAATACAAAGTCCCATATAATAGGGTTCATTAGGTCATAACTAGTCACTGATCTCCACTCTGACTCCCAGAGGGAAGAGCTCTTCTTTGGCCTCCGAAGTAGTATCCACTGCATGAAACTACCTTTATTATTATTATCATTATCATTATTATTATTATTATTATCATTATTATTTTGCTTTTTTGGGTCACAGCTGGCGATGCTTAGGGCTCTGCACTCAGGAATTTCTCCTAACAGTGCTCGGGGGATCATATGGGATGCCAGGGATCAAACTTGGGTTGGCTGCGTGCAAGGCAAATCCCCTACCCACTGTACTATTGCTCCGGCCCCTAAAACTGCCTTTATGTCATCAAACACATTCTGCATCAGAAACTTGAGATTGAAAATGAAAATTCAACTAATTCTATTCTGCTTCCTCTCTATTATTTCTGAACATCTACCTGTGGTGCCTGTGCACTAGTAGGCATTGTGTGGAGGATGGCAAGGTCAAAAATATCATCAAAGAGCTCATACTGTAGCGGGGAAGACATGACTAAGTAACCCAGAAAGAACATGAGGTTGATGGGGGGGGGAGAATCCAGATTTATTGTCAGTTGAGAATGCTTCATATGCCATAGCATATGGCATTCCTATTAAAATTCCATAAAAAGAGTAGCTAAAATTCTTGATACTATAGTGTCATTATATCATTGCATTATTCATTAAATCAGTTATACAGTAAGCATTTATAGAGAAAACTTTTATAGTGGAGTGTCCAAAACCAACATACTCTAAGTCCAAACAGACCATCCATCTACTTAAGGAGATTCATTTTAGATTTAGTTTCTCAAAGTGCAAGGCTACACTAAATTGTATGTTTTAAAGAGCCTGGCAAGCTCCCCGTGATGTATTCGATATGCCAAACACAGTAACAACAAAGTCTCCAATGGAGACGTTACTGGGCCCGCTTGAGCAAATCGATGATCAACGGGAGGGTCTTTACTTACTTACTAATGAGAACTTAACTGCAGTACTTTCACGGTAGAGATAGTTGATTACAAACACCTGTATTTGGGTTTTTTAAGATCCAAACTATGCCTTCCATGTCAAATGGTACAAATGCCAGGCTCTATGCAGAGTACTTATTTAAACAAGTAGCTTCAGAGTTCTTTGCTGAATCTGTCATCTTGCCTCCATCTGCAGGTATCATAGTTGTTCACTTCAGGTGAAAGTATGATGACTATTTGATTAGGCAAGGGATATATAAATCAGACTTCAATATTCTCATGACAGAATATTGACTTTGCTACCTGAATGTGCAGAATGAAAAACATATGGACATTTGTTTAATCAACAACACAAATCAAAATTGAGTCTGCCCTTTAATACTTGCCAAATGTTCTCTGTTGAGACATCTGGTATTTGAGGAGGTTAGTGAAATGTGACTTTCTGTGTCTTTTTACTCCATAGTTTTTATCTTTCTATAAAGTTAGAGCATCTGGAAACAGACTGTACTTTTTGGGAAGAAACTCCTTTATGTCATTAGAGGTAATTTTATTCACTAATCTTTTTTGAGCTACTCAATGGAAGAAAACATCTTTCCAGAGAATATTTCTGTGACTTAGAAGAACCCTCAAAGATGGTGTCTATTATATTATGTAATAGTCCATTATATAATGAATTACA